TGTTAGTCTAGTGTATCTGTGAAGTGTGTGAATCGTGTTGCTTCATGCAAGTATAGGGGTTGACGGTCCATGGTGCTCTGTTTCTGGTCTGATTTGGTTTCTCCATACTAGACTGGACTTATATCTTCACTTCATATAAGTTGTTAAGGATACCCTCATATCAACATTATTTTTCTTCTATTCCAGCTATCTTGCACAAACCCCCGATGCATGGGCAGAAAAAGTAAAGGAACTCTTGGACTTTATGTTATCTGTCGAAGGTGAAGATGAACAAAGGTTTGTCAGCTCCGAGTTACTGACAATATGGCGAACATTATATATTTCTGAAGTACCTGAATTTTATTTCTCTATTTCTGAATGTCAGCCCCTTCAACTCCTTATGCTTCTTGCTTCCCATGTTATGTCAAATAACAATGAATGTTGAAGGATGTAAAACTTTGGTTTCTTCCGGAGGTCTGGCAGCTGTAAGTAATTGCAATCTAGAATTTGTTTATATTAATAGCCTTGTGAACTCTTCAATATAAACTGAGCATGGTAAAATTTAGCGAGCAGGTTGTCAGATGCCTAATAAATTTGATTCACGAGCACGGTGGATGGAATGACATTGATGGAAACATCTTCCTAGCATGTGATACGATCTTGAATGTACTTCTGAAGGTACTCATCTGTAAGAGTACCAAATCCTGTCTGTTGAATTATTACTGCCCATCCAATTTTGTGACAAGGTACTTGTATTCTTTACTAGAAAGAGCTAGCTGGACTTCTATGTGGCGAGTTATCTTTTGTTCACCTCTTGGAAGCAATTGCAAATTCGACTGGTATCCTTCTTTGATTACTGCCTACAACCTTTAATTATTGCTTCCATGTTTAGAGATCGTTCTGGTGCGTGCTTTGTTAGAGTCATGTCTTTTTATTTTTTATTATTATTATTATTATTATTTTATGTGAAACAGAAAATTGTATTAGAAAAAAAAGGTAGGGAACAGCCTTGGGGCTGGGAATAGAGGACACCCCTACCTGAACAACCTAAGAGCGGCCTTCAAATTGTTAATAATCATTAGAATACTACGTATGAAGAGCCTTCCTATCATGTCTCACATAATATGTTTGAGTGTAATAGATGAAGAAATTTTTCCACTTTCAATGAAATTAGTTAAAGAGGTTAGGAATCTTTATAGAATGTCATTTAAATGACTTACAACATCTGAGCTATAATCCTTTGAATGGTAAATGAGCTTCTCAATGCTAATAATCTTAAATGTGGAGATGCTAATTCTAGTACAGTTGGTAGAGTTAATATTTTTCTAAAGTTAGTTTCCTTTTAATTTTTTTGAGAAGATATATTGCGAGATGTGCATCATCTAATCTTATGTAAAAAGTCTTGGTTTGTTAATTTAAATTGTTCACTATGGTTGTAGAGGATGTCAATGACCCATCGGTTATCATGATGGCTGGAAGCATATGTTCCCTGATATTTGATTTCACGTCAGAAAATGCTCTTCTAAGCCATCCTAATTTTGCTGATAAATCTCTTGATAGTTTATGCCGACTCTTTTCAAGAATTTTTGCTCTGACTCGACAGGTATGGTAAACAATGTTCTTCCTTTTATGTATTCGCGATGCAAGGCTTGAGATAAGTTTAATGATGCCTTTAAAGCTGACTTATTTTGCTATGGATTCCAGCAGAGCATGAACGATGATGAAATGGCACAGATGGATCTTCTTGAGATTGTCACTTCAGGTTTGCACGACTCTAACATAGCTTTTTTAGGAGAACTTCGGCCTGATTTTCAATCTCATCCCTTGAAAAACACTAGTTTAAATATATATTCACACAAATTTTCAATTTTGTCCCCAATACTTTAACATTTACAATTTTGCCTTCCAAGTTTTTTTTTTGTTTGTTTGTAATATCTACTTTGCTTATTCTCTTTTGGGATATACATTTCACGGTCGTTGGGAGCCATGTCGAACTTGCGTCATGGTTAAGTAACGCTAGGAACTTCATTTTAAGAATTCATCTGTTGTCTATTTCGTTGGTTAACTAAGGTTAATACACTTTGTTACGCATGTTTCTAAAAGAAAAAGGATGATAGTATTTCAGGGTTTTGTAAAATTTAAAAGAAAAAGTGATTGTGTGCGGCATTGAAAGATGGGATAGGATGGTGAAGACAATTAAATTTGATTGCAGGATATTGTGGGTGGGCTGATCGATTCCCGCGTCTTCAAAAGACCATTGCCAGGTTCCGTTAAGTTCAAACATGTATCTCTATCTTTTCTTTTCATTTCACTTCGTAATTTTATGCTGTTAATATTTATTTAATGTATCTAATTGTACTGATATTTTGTTTTCCGTATATGAGCAGTGTAGACGTCTTTCCTTCAGTTTTAGTTTTAACACGAAGGATTATAGAGTCATTTTAGAGATATGAAGAGAGAGATATTTAGATATATGTTTTAGATGGAGGGAAAAGACAAGTTAGAGGAAGGGTAAGTAATAAAAAAAAAATTATGATTTAATTTAGGAATTTACTTACCGTTTCAGAAAGTATTTTCAATATTTCAATGAAGGATCTATTTGGCAACTATCTTGGGTTCATTTAGATAATCAATACTATTTCTACTTTGATGTTCTCAAAATTTGAAAACTAACAAATGTAGTTTTTAAAAATTTTATTTTAAAATTTAATTGAGAATTCAAATGTGTTTCTAAAATAGGTGATAAATATAGTTTAAATTGGAAAAATGGAAAAGATTTTAAGAAGAGCAAGGAATGAAAAAGAAAATTACAGGAGTGTGGTGTTCGTGAATTTTAAAAATTCAATTTTATGGTAATGTTTGACGTCCGCAGTTTTCCCAAATTCCCGTCTTCAAGACTGCGCCATCCAATTTCCTTTTAATTTGTCGAAGGGAATAATAATATGATCCTGCTTTTCCTTGACTTCATGATTACTTCGAATGAATGTAACTTTTTTTTTTTTTTTATCAAATTGTTTTTATTTATCATTCCAAACAATTAACAACCATGCAAATACAAAATAGGAAAAATAATTCAATAAAAGATAAAACAATCATTTATAATTTTAGAACTCCAAGTAGAAATAAATTACAAATGAACATCTTTCGAGTACAACAAATATGTAATTCAAAAGATGCAAATCTTTAATAGTAAAAAAGTAGTTGAAGAATCAAATTCAACATAGCCACCTACCTAGTTGTCGGAATCTACACCCCACCTATGGTGTTAATATTTTGTATTTAGAAGTAACATTAAAGAATAGTGTGGAAATATGACAATATATTATATACAAAGCACTACACAAAATGTTTCAAACTTTCAAACCTAATGACTTAACCATTTAATTAAAATCTTTAGAGTCGGGGGAGAAAATACGCTATTATTTATTATTTATTATTTACATGTCAAAAGCACCTAAGATGAAAATGGGTGGGTAAGCTTTTTACACAGTGACTAATAAACTAAGAAGAAAGCAAACCTGCAAAAAGGTCAACAACTGGTTTCGCAGCGAGAGAAAAGCCCCATCATTCCTGCTTCCACAGGTTGAGCAACATCCTTCTCTCGATTATGCAATACTCTTACAAATTCCTCCGCACTCAGCTCCCCATCACAATTTGTATCAAATACATGAAATATTATGTCCACCACCTCGTCCGACAGAGATATGCCACACACCTGAGATATTACACAAAATCCGCGCTAGTCAAAAAGCGATGCGGTTTGTTGTTCTTCTCGTTTTATATGGAAGTTGAAGGAAGATAAACATGATACCTGGCGTGCAGCCCGCTGAAAATCGTTCTTCGTCAGGAGGCCGTTTACCTTTCCATAACTGAATAATGCCAGAGAAAATGGCTGAAGTTTTCTGCGTAGAGCGGCAAAATCCCTGAACTCCTCCCACGTAATACGAATGTCCCTAACTTGTGGTTTATCGTCCATTCCGTTCACTCGATTGAGCAGCCCGCCTAAATGAGACGAGTCAGCTGAGGCAACCATGGATAATGCGAAGTCCTTTGCGGATATGCTTCCTCTTAATTTATAATCATAATGTGCAAACTCCAATCTCAACATCTACAACACAAATTAATATATTTTGAAGTTCAGAATTCAGATAGAAGGGGAATAAGTAGTTTATAATCTCAAGCAAATTCAAAATGTTGCAAGGAACATTTGTTTTATTTGCAAGTTATAACAAAATTTAGTAAAATTCCACATTCGGTTAGCACCGGATTACCTCTCTCTGCAAATCTTTCATAAATTGGACAAATTTCTCAAGTTGGAGGCATGCATTTCCATCTTCACCAAAGAAGTACTCTACCAAACCTCCATTCTCCACACAGCCATCAACTATTAATCCGCTACGACGTCCATTTCTATGTTGAGCGCCCTGTCTGTTTTGCGAACGCATCAAAGCCATCACTTTCTTGAATTCTTCTTTATCAATCTCTCTACAAAATCCAAAAATTTCACTCAAGGCACCATTTTCATGAAAAAAACGATAAAAAAAAAAAATTGCTCAAGGAGATTGATGGTAGTTTAAAATGTCCTAAGAGTTCAGCATTGAGCTAAAAGATGCTTGGCCCATATGGGACAATAATATATCTATCTATACATGAAGCATGAAACTATGTCCCTAGTGTTCGGGAAAGTCCCAAAACTGCAAGATCTATGTCCCTAGTGTTCGGGAAAGTAAATTTATTAAACAAGGCTACACTTGACGTACCCGTCATTATTGATGTCGAACATTTTAAATGTCACAAGATAACTTGTTTCTGGGATGCTGAGTAGTGTTACCAAAAAGATGTACCTGTTAAGCAAAGAAAATATCTTCAATCCCGAGTATAATTATCCAAAGACTATATGTGAAAAAATATCAAAGGACGTGACAAGTTGAAGATGCAACGGGAAATTAGAATATCATAGCACAAAGAACAAATGCAACATAAAATACAAAATATGGGCAACTCACTCTTTGAAAGATACATGGCCATCATTGTTCAAATCAAACAGCATGAATAAATCAGAAGGGGAACAACGTAGCTCGCCGGGGTTTCTTTCGCCGCTTAAATATCCATCTCTAACAAGATGTGACTCAGAAGGTGGAAAGACAGGAATCACTGCCCGCATTAGATCCATTGGTCGCATGAGCAATTCTCCATCTGGTGCACGAAATGATGCAAAATACTCAAAGACCTTCAGGAAATGAGATGGCAAGAAAAAATGTCAAATATAACAAACTTCGAAATAATCTGATGTAGTTACAACTTACAATCAAATAACTATGAACATGTGGAACCTTATTGCAATGGATAACTGAAGCTCGAGAAGCTCGTAAGTTTTACATTGTTGAAAAGCATAGAAAAATAAAGATAACAGGCAATGATATGTTGTGAGGTAAGAGGTAGCCCGAATCCTCTGGAACAGATCAAGCCTCATTACAGGCTTCTGTAATCCCCAAATTCATAAACATTTTGGTCATGATCACACCACCGGGGTAGGATAGGTACCAATCTTAATAACTAGATTCTAGGGGGAATTTCTAGATGGTCCGAAAGAAATTTTCCTGCAGATTTAGTTGCGAAGAAAGATTTTGATTTCAGGAATTCATCCATACGAATGACGAGTCATAAGATATTTAAATTTAAAAATGACAGTTGCAAGAACAAAAGAACATATAATATATTAACTTTTGTGGGTTGAACCAATCAATAAACCCTTGCTTAATCTTCTTTTCTCCTTTTGTGTCAGCAAGAGAAAACAAGACACAATGCAGCACAACCACAAAAGAATTCGAAAATCCTTAAATAAGACTGGCACGATTGACAAATCATCCGCAAGGTAAAAACACAATCTAAGTAGACGATACCTTCTCGGGAGGGCTGTATAATCGAATGCGTCTCTCGTAATTGAAGAATACCTTTCGTCGAAATTCCTCTGCGATAACAAAACAGAAAGAAACAAAGAGTTAACAATGTTAACACAATTTCATTTCCCTCCCTCTTTCCCGCCATGTTACACCTCAACTCTCCTCACCATTTCTACTCCCCCAAACCGGACAAAATAACGAACAATCCAAGAAATCTGAAGAACGATCACCACCAACCTCTGAACAGAAACTTGGAGGAGATTTCCGGCAGAGAAAATTTCCGGAAAAAAGAAGTCGAATACGGCTGCTCGACGACATCATCTTCAGCATTATTCACCACAGTTGAATCGGCAAAAGCTAATACAGGCGAATCAGAAGTGCCAGACACATAAAGAAACCCTAAGCCGGAGGCAAGCAAAATTCCTGAGGCCAACTTGAGGAAGGAACCACCAATAGAAGCAGCGATCCGCAACCGATCGCCATCCGAACTCGAATCGGTGAGCAGAGGCCGCAAAATCGATGAAGACGATGAAATCGAAGTCGAAGTCGAAATTTGATTGAACGGGAGCCATCGGATCGAGTAGAATGGGAGAATGGATGGTGAGGATCTCCGGAGAGATCGTAGAGACGGCATAGCCATGGAGAGAAGTGTTAGTTAAATGTTGAGAGAGAGAATAGAGAGAGCCGGGAAGGAAAATAAAGGAGTTGAACCCGGTTGGGAATAAATAGTACACGGGTTTTGTTGTGGCCTGTGGGCGCCGCCAATACAATTTGGGCCGGTTTGGGCCAGTCGTGGTTGGGCCTAATGTTGGTTCGACCTAACTTGGATAACATCTTGGCCCGGTTCTTAATGACAAAAAAAAAGAAAAAAGAACTCATATCTAAACTTTGCCATTTTATCCTAAAAAACATATCTTTTTAAAATCTTTCTGTCTATCCTTCTTGTCTTAAATAAACGTTTAAAAATATCATTTTGACCAAATATTTATTAATATTTTGAATAAAATATTGATGTGATAATCAATGGTTTAAAAGTGGAAGAAGTAAGGAATTGGTTATCATTTTTAAAAAAAGAATAGGGGTAAAATTGAATGGTCGATAATTGTATTGAAATTTTTTAAATAATAAAGATATTTTTTAACTAATAGCAAATTTCGGTGTTTTTTTCCCGAAAACAAAAACAAAAACAATCATATGCCCTGCAAATAAGGACGTTCCAGAAAAAGGAAAATATGAAGGGTCAAAAAATAGTTTATGCTATGTTTGTCCTTTTGGTCCGACTGAAAACTGAAAAACACTTTCCTTTCTAAGGGCCTATTTGAAAATAAATTTATAATTAGTATTTTAGCGAAAAAGATTTAATGATAATTGATTTTGTATTTTAATGTTTGGTTACCTAGAGTGATTTTTATATAATTAAAAATGACTCGGAATGGTTAATATTTTAGGTAAAATTTTCTTAACAAAAAAATTATTTTAGAGAAAATAGAGAAATTAAAAATTTAGAAGATATTACAAAAATAGAGAAACAAATGAGATAATAAACAAAATCAAAGATAACAAATTTAGAAAGTGATAAAAAAAATTTAGAAATGAAAAAAATAATAGTTCTCAAATTTTAAAGGTGAAATAGAAGGATAAATTTGAAATTTAAAACAATAACCATTTTAAAAAAAAAAAAACTAATTTTAGAGTGAATAAAAAGTGATTTATGACCAACTATAAAAATTAGGTATGAATTAATTTGAAAGTTCAAAATTAAACTAAGCCTAAATTATAAAATATAAATTGAATTATTACTCAAATTATGGGACCAGAGTTGTAATAACAAAAAAATCAATATGATATTTTAAATATATTGTTGGTGTCAAAAATATGACTTAACATAATGGTGAGATAAGAATAGATCATTTTAGGGATCAGATGATAATACCTTGAAGATAAACAACGGTCGAGTTATTAAGCTTCTCATTTTGTAAGGGTGAATAGCTCGTTCTGGTGGCTGACTTATTTAGCTCATCCACAAATAAGCGTGAATAGCTCATTCTAGTGGTGGACCTATTAAGCTCTATCACAGTAGTACTGAATAGCTCAACCAAACTGAAGATCACCTTGAAAATGTTAAGCATCGAGGTGTCATGTCCAACTGTCTCTAACCGCATAACGACTCATCAGAGAGCATAACAAAATGATTGTAAGTCTCGTCTCCTTACACTCTATAACTAAAGAAATCATTATGTTCCTAGTATGCAATCTAATTCATCAAATTGACAGTTTAGATCGATCTTTTACTAACTTCAACATTAGAGTATTTGTTTCTTTCTCGAGGTCTTTCTCTCACACAGCTCTCTCGATTGCGCAAGCTCTCAAGAAGGTCAGGTATTAATATATATATTTACTTAATTTTTTTTAAAACAAGAGCGAGTCATTTGATATTTGAATGATACAGACTATAGAGGTTAACTTGATTTTTTAAATAGATAAAGTTTTGAACATTAGTTTTAAAAAAGAGAGATAGAGAGAGAAAGGGACAGCTGGAGCGCAATCAAATGGATTTATTATCTTTTTATTATTTAAAAAAAGGAAACAATATAAAAAGGGGTTTGTATTTTATTTGAGGTTTTATTGTGTGTGGGGAAGAGCAGCAACAACTCCCATATGATTTTGAGGAATGCGATTGCCAGCTGGATCTGAGTTTGCACCGAAAAACGCGCATTCGGATTTTGGAATTCCGCCCATTGTATTACGCTGCACCAACACGTGGACTAGATTCCCCCACCTTGCCGCCGCTCTTTCGTTTCAATTAATTAAATTTTAATTTTACCACAAATTAATAATTTAGTTACAATACAACACTTTACTTTTATCCAATTTTAATTCAAATTTTTTTAATTCCAAACTGTAATCTTCATCAACTTTTAAAAAATATTGTAATTTCTACCATTTTGATTTTTTTTTTTGCAAACAACTGTTGATAAATACAAGAAATCTATTTTTTAATTATATGGAGTTCGCAATTTACTCCCTTAGATATATGAGAGAAAAATCACAAAAATATTTTAAATTTATATAGGTGGTTAATTGTTATTGGAGAGTTTTTCGATAATTTTAATGATTATTAGAGAGCATCAACGTTGTTATCTAATGCAATAATTTCTTCTAATTAGCATTAGGGTCCAATAAGTCTAAAGCTAGGGGAGAAGCTAAATCGAAGGGATTTTTAGACGTCGATAGAAATGAAAACTACACGAACTAAGCTTTTATTCTATGTATGATTTTTTTTTCGTTTACCCTTATGGTCATACAAATAATGTGGAACAAAAAGATTAAAATATTATTTTGGTTTATATACTTTTAAAATGTTTATTTCCATCTCTATGCTGAACTTTTGTTATTTTAGTCTCTATACTTTTAAAATGTTGGTTTTCGTCTATACTTTTAAAAATCGATTGTTTTGTCCCACTGCATTTTTTGAAATGTATTCATGACTTTATATTGAAGAGTTCCCATGTGTTAAAATTTTGAAAACTAAAACTAAAATGTTACATTTTTACAATTTCAATTATCAAAGAGGCTAAAATAAACTAAAAAAAAGCCGAAAACACGATAACTAAAATGATCATTTTAAAAGTGGAGCGACGTAAATAAACAAAAGCTCAAAATAAAACGACAAAACTAGTATTTAAAAAAAAAAAACTTTTTCTTATATGAAAAAAGATTTAAGTTGAGTCCAAATAATTAATTTTTTTGGCTAGAAAAATGTGTGGACGTTAAATAGGAATGAATAAAGTGGTGGTGGAGTCGCCCTTTGAAATTCCCACTAGTATATTGGAACATATTTGAAATTTAGTAGGCAACTCAATTTATTTGTTTTAGTATAAACTCTGTCAAAGAGAAAATTTTAGTAAAAACTCAATATCAATTTGAACCCTATAAATTTAACTTTTAAAAGTTCACTTCAATCCTCACAATCGCTGTCAACAAAAAAAATTAAAATTATTCCTTACAATTATATTAAATTCACTGAATTGTCCATATCATTATAAATTWAATCATTACGTGATATTGAAGAATTAGAACTTAAGAATGGATGCAAAAATAGAAAGAAAAAAAAAGGGTAAATTTTCGAATAGCTAAAAGATCATTCACTATAATTCTTAAAACTTAATTAGATAACAAATTAAAACTTTTAAAATAAATTAAAATCAGACCGTTATTAAAAAAAAAAAAGATCCATTAAAAAGTCCAAGCCAGTCCTGTTTTTTCGGCCAAGAAAAAAAAAGCCGATCCAGTTTTAATATTTAATTTAAAAATTTTTAAAGTTAAAACCCAGAACCATAAAGTCGACACTGCCGTTGGGGTCACAAGAATCTCGGCCTCACCGTCATGGGCCCCACTTATTTTCCAAAATCAATACTCTCCAACCAAATTTACTGTGCTACCATTCCTGGCTTATGTCTGCCTCACCTCTCAGTCATTTCCAGCACATATGGTCCCATTCCTTATCTATTTATTTATTTTTAATTATTATTTTCCTTTTGGATACTCCCTCTTCACCTCATTTTCACGTATGGTAAATCCAGCCAACTCTGAACTGTTAAATTTATTCACATTTCCTTATCCAGAAGTTCTCTCTTTTTTCTTGGAGCCGAATCTGATTAGAAACCACTCCATAGTTGTTTTTTCTTTAATTTTCCTTCATTAAGATCTGTCTCAATTTCACTTGTAAAGTTTCTTCATGGTAAAAATAAGGTCCGATGGGCCTGGGCCCATTCGCCATTTTAACGAACGATCTTCACCTGGTCAAAAGTCAAAGGTCAAAGTTTCATAAGTTTCGACTTTCCAACATCTCTGAGCTCAAAGAACCTCAGCGCAGGAATCGTGACGACATTATCACCGAGCGGCACGTCCTGCACCAAATAAATATTTCACAACAATAACAAATAAAAATTCAAAATTAAATACGGATAAAAAAATAAAAAAAATACCTGGCACCGGAAAGAACACGACGGAGTAAACGGAACACGTGAAACGACGGGGGGCGAAAATCACGACGAACGCAACCAACCCGACGGTAACGTACGACGACGGCATAAACGGAATCCCAACGCTGCATACAAATGAATTTTCACGGATCACGTTTCGCATCCCAACGGGGTTTAAACCTTTTGAAAAGTAAAGCCGGTTACAGGTTACTTCATGTTGAATTTATTCTTTGAATTATATTCTCTTTTTTCTTTTTCCTCTCTTTCTTTTGTTCAATTGGTAATAGAAAAATGTCCGAAATTCTCCTTCCACAGCTAATGATGTTTTTATGTACAAAGGGTAATTCGTTGGATTTTCTTCTTCAATCCTCTGCCAAAACCACGAAGGGATTTCGACTGTTGAAACATCCCTCCGTACAGAACTCGGCGAGCCGACTCAGTCCCGCTTCGTAATCAAAAGCTGAACTCATCACGAGTTACATACTCGGCAAACAAACAAATCTACTAAAATTCACCTCAGATACCGCCTGAAGATCAGCTCTGTATGTGTTCTTTTCGCTATAACTCTTAATCAGAAACTTTCACGAATCGATGCTTCTTCTACTGCTTTTTCGAACCTGAGATCATAAAGATTTAGACATCACCGTACCTTCTGCTGAAATTCACGCATCGTCGGCTTTGGACATGACCGAGAGCCGACTGGATCTCGGTTGGAACGCCGCTCTCCTCCTCTGCTGGTGCGAAGAAGGCCGAATCAGAGTCGTCAATGCTCTCTTCATCCATTCCCCTTCCACTCCGCCGATTCGAACAAGCGAGTTCGCCATAGCCGATCTCCGCATATTCAACCTGGTAGAAGGAAACGACACCGACTGCCCGTGGCCTCCGCTACTGGAAACATTCTTATGGAGACTGCACCGGAAAGAGCCTGGATGCGTCGTCGGAGAGCACATACAGGTCTTCTTAACATTAGAAACCGGACGATTCTTCCTGGAAACAATAACGGATCGATTCGGAGAAATGGAACGGTTATCGATAAAGAAACGGACAGAAGGAGCAAGTGAAGGAGATGAATAAACGTTAACACGGCTGGGAGAGGTGGATCGAGGTTGATGATGGCTGCGGAAATCACGATGGTCATCGTGACGGAAAGCGGAGGAAGAGGAGTAAAAGCTTGAGCTAGTGGAGGAAGCAAAAGCCGATGTAGAAGACGACAAAGAAGGGGAGTTACAGAACCTGCCGCCCGGCGAGAGTGATCGGATCACCGGGCCGCTGGATCTGGTTTTCGAGGAAGAAGATGAAGTCACCATTGGAGACCAGAGGAGAGAGAGAGAAGAAGAGGAGAGAGAAAGCGAAGAAGAAGGCTGTCGTGTACCCTCTCTAGGGGGCCCCTCGGGGCGTTAGTTTGGCAAACCTAACGATTCTCAAAGGCCAGTTTTATAGATCAGAAATAATCGGGTCGGATCGTAATTAAGTGGAAAATTGGGGGTATTTCTGGAAATCAGGGGAGTCAGTTGACTTAACCATGGTAGAGTTAAGAGAGTGGTTAGGGTTTTGAGGAGAGGGTCGGTTGGAGGAGCGTTGGGATTCTTAATCTAACGGCTGAAACGGGCATTGACTGTGGAAGAAGACGAAAATGGGAGCCGTTTATCCAGCTTTTATGATCTTCAGAGTTTGCCACGTATTAAGATGCTTCTGACAGAAAAGATATGGGAAAGTACGAAAAAATCAGGTCCGGTTTCGTTTATTTACAGTTTTGCCATTGGGTGAGGATTTGCTCGGGCGACAGGCGTTGTGACCACGGTATCCATTGCGTGAGCTCCACGTAATGTAACTGTAAAGATTTCTCTTGCTTGTGATGGGTGACGGCCAAACCGTAATGTAAATTTCAGCATTTTTTCTCTTGCAACTTAAGTTGTCAAAAAAATAAATAAATAACTTCGTTCAAATATTTGTAAATAATTTCTTGTTTACAATGTTACCTTACAAAATAGGGCATCAACGAGGCGGGACGAGGTGGAGCCATTTCCATCTCTTGGGATTTTCTCTCCATCCACACCATCGTATCCAAAATTTTGAGGCATGGACGAGACAGGAATTTTCGATCAGGATGGATTCCCGCGAGGAACCAATCCCCGATATACATATATGTTACATTTTTTTAAAGAGATTTATAAATATTTTAATTCTTTGAAAAATATAAATAGAATAGAGTAAAATTTAATTAAATACCATTCCAATGTTTTAAAAAATTAAAAATGTGTTTATAAAAATTAATATTATCATATGTAAAAATTAATAAAATGTTAAATGAGGGAGGGGTGGAGAGATTTTTTTCCATCTCCATCCTTGCCAGAGACCGAATTAGGATCTCCGGTTTGACTCCGTCTCAGGTCAAATCGAAAATTTTCCGACTCGACCAGATTGAGTACTAGTAAGGATTGGGTGCTACAAGTTTTTTTTTTTTTTTTACATCCCTACTCGCCAAAGTTGAATTTGAAATACCAATTCTAATGACACTGCTGAATTTTTCTTTGTTTGGATTAATTGTCCACATATTTGCAAGTTTAATTTTCATCGATGTCTATTATATATTAATCTTAACAATTCATGTGGTTAACAAACGAATATTATTTCATTTTTTTAGTTCAGTAAAGAAGTCGAATTTGAATTTACAACTCCCAAAAATGTAAATAATTTCCTACCCAATTGAGTTATATTGTCATGGCTGATGGGACCAATATTTCACGAAAACATTATTACAATTTACTGTCATGAATTAATTCACTTCTGAAATGGTCCGACGCAGTAAAAATTGTATCTTGATTTGGTGGAAAGATTTGGAATTGGTCGAAAGACATGTGGTGTGGTAAAATTGAAACGATCCGTCGGCTGGGGCTGCAATTGTTGACGAATTTTTGAGTTGATTCAGTCATTTTTTAAATTGTCGCCGATGGCTAATGATAACATTCCGTACGACATGTCGAGATTCTGAAAAAGGAAACAGAGTAAACATAACGTTACTGGAGAAAGTGACGATGCGGAATTTAGTAAACTGGGAAAAAAAAAAAAATAATCAATTGGGAAATTTTAGTTGACAAATCTAAGAGGGGCGGGAATCACGTAATTAAATGTGGATGGTCGATTTACAGCTGTCAAAATATAAGTCTATATGAAAAATGGAAATTTCAACACTCAATTCAATTATCTACTAGAAATTAGTGTTGGTTTTAATGGACGAGGTGTGTTAAAAGTTGACTAATCTTTTTTTATTATTTTCAAAAAATGTTTATATTTTACAAATAGGAACTAATTTGGGATCGGACCAGATCGGACTGGGAAATCTTGGGTTTGGATATAAACCAGGGATTTTAATTTCGGTCTACGCCCCGTTTAATATAAAATAATTACATATAATAATATTAATAATCTATTAACTTTTATAAACATATTATTATATTTTAAAAGGACCATTATAAAAAATCAAAACGTTTTTCTAAGAAAAAAAAATAGGTAAATTATAAAAGTAAAAACAGTGGAATCTGTTGGTAAAAAATATTGAGATAATTGTTAGTCTAAATATTATTTAGGAATATATGCACTTCTTAGCATCGACCCCATAAAAATTTTGATTTTAATTATACTACTTTTTTAGTTTTTGATGTTAATGTTATTAACGATATAGAAGTATATTCTAAAATTTTTGGAGATGTAATTGACAATTTTTTTTCTTAATTTAGAGATTAAATATATGTAATATTAAAAATATGGGACAACTTTGAGACAATATTTATAACTTATTTAAAAAAAATATATAACATTTTATAGTTTTTTTAAAATACAGTTTGTCGTGCATTGACATTTCATATTGTCAAATGTCAATGAAAAATTACATAATTTAATGCTATAGTTCGTAGAATTGCAATAATGAGTATATTTTAACATAGATGATATTGATATTTATAAGTAATAACTATATTGTTGGCCTTTGATTTCCCGCAAGGGTTGGTTACCCCTCATCCGGCTGAATAAATTATAGGAAAGTTGGCAAATAGATACAAAAAAATTCCAGCCTAAATTGTCAAATCTCTCCGGTTGAATATCTTTTCAACCATGAATATTGTCAATTGATTTTGAGTTAGAAACCATGAATATTGACATGCTATTAGAGTCCAAAAACTCAAACAAGTATCTGGTCAAAACATGAGATTTGACCAAGATCGATGAGAAAAAAGAGCTACGATCTTGATGGGACATGTTAAAGATCTCAATCGAAAAGAGAAGAGACCTAGATTTATATATAATGGCATGGACTGCTCTTTCTCATTGTCAATTGATTTTGACATGGAACCCTATGAATATTCATATAAATAAATAACGATGAATTTTATCATTTGTTTAAAAAATACTTATGGCAAAATTTTCGATATTGTCCTTGATCTTTTATAAACGTTTCAAAATACTTTTTGAGTTGAATGACTGATAATTAATGTGTAAATTTATCTAGAACAATTAGCTGACACATCAAAACAAATTTGACCTTTAACGATCAATTGTAGGTTTGTTATTGTTTTTAAGCTTCTATGTTAATTGCTTTCTATAATGAAGATTGTCTCGACGAATCAACACTAGTATTTTTGGACATGTGTTTTCTAACTTTAAAGTTCGTACGAGTGAGCGAACGAAAAAGAAGAAGTGTTTTGTTGATATATGTAGTAACTTTAAAATATTTTAAGTTTTTCTAATTTCAACCATACTTACGTTTCTCTCACCGTAATTTTCATTTAAATGCGGTGCCAATTCATTGATGTACTCCTCTACTCTCGTATTGTAATACGTCATCGAGGCTTGTTATGTAGGAATATACTATAATACATTGAGGGTTAGTGATAATTTGTTAGATCAGAAAGTTGTTATCGAGAATATAAACCCCGTCCCATATTTTGATGAAAATGATTGAAAGGCAAATCACATGGGATGAAAGGTGAAGACATTAAAAGAGTGGTAGGGTGATGGGGAAGCAAGATTGTGGCATGTTGCAATTGGGTTGCCCATAAAGAGGAAGCACTCTCCACTTTCGCCGCTCATACGTCTCAACTTCTGTTGTCCGGTTGGTGATGTATCCCCCATGACAGTCCAATCCCATTATCCAACGCTCAAATTTAAATAATTTTAGATATATATATATATATATATATTTTACGCTGTTTTGTCATGGTTAACACTTAACAAATAGGTTTTTTTTAAGGGTAAAAACATATACTTTCAAAACATTCGTTTTAGTTTTTATACATCTTTTAGTACACTAAGTGGGATTTAGAGAATTCGAACTCATGAGATCTCGATAAGGAACAGATACCAATTACCTAAGTTCATGTTGGCAATCTCTATATTTTTAAATAGTGACAATTTTGATATTTGTTTGAAAATTTTTAACAAAAATTTTATATACAATTGAAACTCTCAAATAAAAATTTATGACTACATTTCAAGACACTTCTAAGAAATGACATGAAAATGAAAATAAATATACTAAAATGTGTTCGACACTTTAAAAGTAAAAGTCAAAAGTGTATAGACCAAAATAGTGTATATATATATATTTTTTTTTAACAGAGTATTTTTTTTTATCGTTAGACCAAAATAATATTAAAACCTAATTTGTTTTATATATTATTTTAGTCATTTTTATTTTTATTTTGTGGAAAACATTTTAGTCATGGAGTTGAAATTTTTCTGAAAAAAATATATTCAATAACAATCACTGAAATATGGCCACTTGAAGCCGACCAAAGTTGGAACCAAGAAGATAGGAGATGAGGCAATTAAATATTTGTGTTTTTATATGGGTGTGTTTGTGCCTATTTATAAAAATATCGTTACAAACTTTTATATAAGTTTGTAATTTATGCTATTTTTATAAAAATTTTAAACCTAATACTAGAAATATAAATACATAGTATTTTTTACTATTTTCTATACAACAAACAGAGTCCGAGTTACTAATATTATAACTAGTTTAACTCTTCAACTTTGTATTTGTTTATTCGTATTATTGGTTTACACCAAGATTTTAGTACGGGGAACAATTTTTTTATTTTTTAAAGCACAATTGTTAAGAAGAGAATGATAAATAGCTAAAATGTTTTTTCTTTTTTTTTTTTAATATAGTTTTGAGTGCTTTACCAGAATGATCCAAGAACAAAAAGATGTTTAGAAAAGAAAAGATAATAACGTATGCAATTAAAACACATTAATTTTGGGCTTGAATTTTATATTAAAATTTTGAAATAAATTAATGTGGACCCAATCCCTTGGCTCCAAGCCATCTCCTCCATAAGAATTCTGAGCCTTTGAATTTTCATTAACTCTGATATTAATGGAGCCGTCTAATTATCGAACTTATTTTTTCTCTATGCCTGCAAGTCAATTAGTCAAACAGATTGATTTTTATTTTTTTAATAGATTGGAGAAATTTCAACTTTGATTCAAATTTAAAAAATCAACTAGATTTTGTCCATTAAACTTGGCAATAAAAAATGGTCCATGAAACAATCAATTCTGTTTTTTTTTTTTTAATTAAACAATCAATTTTTTAATTATATAAACTGACCCATTAAAACCTATACCATTTTTCAAACCTAAAGGAAAATTACCAAGTTTAAATCTTTACCTCACTCCTTCGTTAATTTCGTCATTAATTGCTATCAATTGATTAACAAGCAAACTCTCATTTTTATTTTACATGTGGAGGTGAAGAATTGAACTCACGATCTTTTGGTTGTTGATATGTGTCAATTACCGTTGACTTATACTCGCTTTGGTAGCAAACTCTCATTATTATATCACAACTTTTTTTCAAATTTATAAAAGAATTACCACTCCTACCTTATCGTCTATCAAAATTACCTTTAGATTATAAACAAAATAAAACTAATTTATGTCGAAGCAAACTTAACTCAGTAGTAATTGACATATGTGTGAGATTGTGAGTTGGATTCCCATCATACATGTTTTATTAAAAAAAAAATTATTTCACAAGAAAATGGAGGTGGCCGAGCAGAAACAGAAAATTACACACATTTCCCTCCCACAACTTTATCTCGCCATTTTCTTCTTGGTAAATAAAATTAAGCTGATTTAGTGAATATTTGGGTGGCTGATTTGTTTTTAAATTTTTTAATTTTGTGATTCAAATGGTTAAAAATCTGAAAACAACATTTTTATAATTTTAGTATTTTTAAATTTTAAATTTTAAATTTTAAAATTTAAAATGCACGATTACATTATAAAAACTTTGATAAATATAATATTTAATGTCGTAAACCCATTTCATTTATTTATTTTTGTTGAAATTAAAAATGTAAAAGATAATATTGTAAAATAATAATTATACAAATTTTATAACATATATGTTAATAAATTATTTAATTACATTTTAGATTTAACTAAATATTTAGTTGGTAGTTCCAACAAATTTATATGTCTAAACACACCTTTAACAATTTATTTAATTAGGATTTAATTTTTAAATATGTTTTTCATTCCATCTATTGTTTTCATAATATCACCAAACAAATACACACCTTAGTAACTTACAACTTTTTATTTTAGTAACATTCAATTAATTAAGACATATATTCCGACCGAAAAGTCGTGGGTTCGGATTCCTACCCCAAACATTTGTAGTAAAAAAAACTGCTTTTTATTTCAGTAAAATTAATCAACAAGCAAAGCTATACTACTATTACTCCATATACTCCAGTTGTCACATATGCAAACTTGAAACTATATGATAACCTACCTTTCGTCGACTTGTTTCCGAAACGTCATCTAACCGTACCGGTTCCTACAGGTCCTTCGAGTTCATTCCATATTTCCTGGATTCAATGGCTGAATCAGAAACAGCAGAACACAACACAGTCTAATAGTCCTGATCTCTCATTCTTTGATACCTCTGCAATGTGCATGAAAACAAGCTGGCTAATATGGCGCCATCGGTTATGAACAAACGAAACTATGGTAAAATAGTTCTCCACATTGAAGGTGATCTCGCTGAATTATATTACATTCGTGGAACATGAAAAAATATGAGCAGATCCTAGGATATCAGCTATGTTAGCAGTGGAAATAATCTCACACTTACAGTTCTCAAGATTCTTTGTTCCCCTCCAACTCTTCCCCAGTTGGTTTAGTAATCAAGCCATTTGTATAAGCGCGATGGCGCCGTTCTCGACCGTATATAATCCATAGAATCAGAGAGAGCATAACAGCAATGGAGATAGTTGATAATCCGACATAGACCCATCTGCTGTATTGTTGTAGACCAGGACAATAGTTTCTATGTATTTCATTGAATGTCTGTCGTACAAACGAACAGTCTTGGAGCTCAACCAAAGTAGGACCGTAATTCGACAGTGCGTTGCTTAAATTTACTCCACTCGCCATCTGGTTGTACAAACTCGGAGTCAACCGCCCCGTCGTGATGCATATATTATCACCAGTAGGTGAAACTTGGCAGACATAACCGCCCCATACCTACTCAAATAAGATGATAACAGACAAAAAAGGATTATAAAGCTTCTCTTTTAACTTTGTCAATTGAGAATGAACTTCACAGTGCCCATCTGCTAGAGATTTGAGGTCTTGTGACTTACTTGTGTGGCATTTTGCAAGTCTACTTCGCCAGAAGAACAAGTTCTGGGTGTCAAGTCCGGGTGAAACGGGTTGCATAGTGTTGGCAAAATGGGACCAGATTGGTTAAAGTACATTGGTTTGAAGTTCGGCGAAAAATTTATGTTGGAGACGTTCGTGATCACCTCGTTCACCAGATCGACAAGTTTAGCACTCACTTCCTTGCTTTTTACCAGTGTCTCTTGGGCAGTCTCTTTATCCACACAAGGAAGAACGTCATCTAAGGCCGTATGCGCCGCAGGATTCTGGACCCATTCATCCATTGCAATGCAAGTATCTGCAGCCGCGCTACATATCAAGTCGGAAAAGATATCAGATTTGCTTGGTTATAAAGTTGAAGAGCAAAGAGAGTGAAAAAGAACATGAGCTAGCAGTAAAGTTCTCATCATTTTAGATGTATGTAGCGATGTAAATTTTACAAACATTTTACAGAAGTTTACTGTATGTCTATTTCAAGTATTTGCAGCATAAGATTTGAACATAGCTTACTTGTGGAGAATAAGAAATGTGCCCGATAAGATGAACGTCCCAGTGACAAGTAACCAACCAGTAATCACCAGGCTGCAATAGTATATCATGACAGTTATTTAAGAAAATACAGTATGGTAACACACTACTTTAGAGCGACGCTCAGTGAAGAGAAGAAGCGAACAACGAAAATTTACAGTCTCACTTACATGTAGACAAGAAGTTGCATACCGAACATGGAGAATACTGGAAGAAAAAGTTACATCAGACTAAACCGAGTAAGAATCACATGAAGGAGTTTTTGTAAGTAAGAGCATAATTAAGAATTGGAAAACACTTACAGAATCCGAGAAATGTCAATAGAAGCATAATAGCTGCGACAATTATAAGTGCCAGACGACTGCAATGTCATGAAGATCATCAGCTTATGATTGAAACATGGGAAACAGGAAAAATAGAGAAGTCTAGACATACATAGAATCAAGGAGATCTTTAATGTCATTTGAGTTGTGCACAGATTTGTCAGCAAGAATACTAGCAGAAGAGTTTATCTTCGTCTCAATCTGGTCGATGTCGGTTTGAACATCAGAGGGCAGAAAAACTTGATCCACTCCAGTCTGCTTGGCTGCAGCAAAATAATCAGATACGTCGCGGAGCTTTTGAGCAGTCAAATCTGCCTGATCTATGACATATTCCAATGTTTCTGATGTACTATTATGAAACCTTCCTTGGCCAATGTATAAAATTACACATCCAATGCTGAACACAAGATAATGTATCAGTTTTTCTTCCCCAAGATTTCAACCAAATACATAACAAGTGGAAAGGAGAGAGGATATTCACATTGCTGCAATGGAGAACATTATGAGGAAAAAAAGTGAAAGAGTATAAGCCGTTCGAGAATAGCCATACGACTGCATTCCGCAACAGAAGTAACAAAGAGAGATGATCAATAAGCAAATCCCAAAACCCAAGAGCCAGGCTGCAGCAACAGCAAACAAAGGAACTGCAGTGAACCCAACAGACTGTTTCCAAATGACAGAAGCACAGAGTAAGAACAGAGAAACAGAGATATCTCTGGAAAGACGTCATCTATAATGGATTAACAAATCACAGGAAGGATGTAAAATACCGGAAAGCAGATAAAAGTGAGGTGAGTCACAACAGAACAGCCCATTGCATAAAATCTTCGCAACTAAAACCGAAATAAATCGTTATATGTTGACAAATTTGAGATAAGGTACCTGAGTTTGGTATGAATTTTTGGAAGGAATTAGAAACATTTTTCAAACTTCACATTGTATTTGATTACATGGTTAGAAGTGATTTTGAAAATTCTAATCACACTAGAAAAAACGCTTCACTTAAAAGCACTGAATGGTAAGACTAAAACCAATCACTCAAGTCAACTTCCATAGAGAAGGTTTAAACAAAAACCAAGTATTCCCAACGCATAATGCACGATTGGTGAAGAAATTATACATTTTAACACTAAGGTTATCTAATCACAGATAAAAATAACTACATAGTTGAAATGATAATTAATGACATACTCTTTCATCAAGAAACATCATCAAATAGAAACGAATTACGCTTCTATTTGTTTATTTATCTTATAGCAAATAGCAGCAGCTCAAACTTCCAAAGTTATTTCATGATTTCATCAAAGGGTTGAGTATGGAGAACAAAGTACAAACTTACAGCCCAATAATGGCGGTCACTAATATTCCAGCCGCCGGAGTAGACTTGAAAGCCACTGAGAGGATCTTTCCTACGAGTTCTTTCAGCTGCCAACACAAAAAATGAGTGCTCCACAGGCTCCGTTATGGGCCCTTCCGCAATAGACCCCATCGGACTTCCCAACCCGAGCCCTCCACCGTTATAATACTCATCATTTCTCCACCCTAAACAGTGGAAAAAGAAAGGGCAAGAAATCAGCAAGTGATCCTAATTTTGTTTCTCTGTTATAGTAAACATTATCTTCTTCCGGCTGTGAAAAAAAGTGAAAATCCAAATCCAAACAACCTTTTTCGCTAAATAACCAGAAAATGGAGAGTGAGTACCTGAGATGGGAGGCATTTGAGAGAACGGAGTCTGAGAATCGCCATGGGAGAAGGAAACTAAAGCAGAGGAGCAACACAGCGAAAATGCAGCTAGAACTGAAAATGGCGGTGGTCGCTGGTGTAGCATTGTGAGGTTTGTACAGAGAGATGATTCTCTACGGCGAGCTGCTGCTCGGAACTTATCTCCGGTGACCGGAAAAACGGAAGCCGGCGGATAAAACGGTCGCGAGAACGATTGACAACGAAGGACGAACGTTGGATGCTTTCGATTGTTTTAGTTTTTATTTCGGTGTGTTTATTTTTGGGTTGTCCAACACTCGTAACATTTGGAAACTTTTTGGACGAAATTGCCCTTCCTTCGGTTATGATGAGTTGGATTTAAATAGAAAAAAAAAATCTCTTGGAAAATGAGTTTCACGAACTGTCTCGTATACTTTTAAATTTTCATCCATGGTTGAACTAAAATTTTCATTAATACTATTTTGGTACGGTAATTTTTATTTTGGTCCATTTTTATATTTTTAAATCGTTCATTTTGATTATTAATTTTTAAAAATTACCAATTTGATACTTATTTGTAAAATTGTATTGTAAATTTCATATATAATGAATGTCCTATAATATAAATTTATGGTTACATTTAAAAAAATTTAGTGAGTCAAATGTCCTATTAAAATTGTGATAAAAATGAAAATGATACAATGATCACGTTTTAATTAGATGAATTAAATTTAACGTTTTAAAAGTATAGAGACTAAAATGAATAAATATTAAAAATAGGTGACGAAAAATAGATGTTTTTAAAATATAATAATCAAACTAAACTGTAATTAAAAAGTTGAAAACAAATCCCATTAACATCTGTTTCTCTTCTTAGGTTCCAACTTCTTACCTACAATTAATTGTATCGGGGAAAGAAAAAAGCACAGGAAAATTAGTATTTATGTAATTAATTTCCCGAAGGCGGGAAAGGTAGGGGCATTTTGGTCAGAGAAAATGAATAGGAATTGGGCCAGAGCTGGGAAGTGCGGCCCAGAAGAGAAACAAAATTGGAGAGTGGGTCCCACGATGGCTCGATATACGAGGATTGCTTGCTTTTTGAGTTTGTCTGATTTTTGGAGTACGCGAAGGCCCAATAAAGGCCCACAAATTCCGCCTCCCTTATTGGCTTTCCTAATCATTGTTTTTGTTCTCTCTAACACTGCAATTTTCAAAAAACAATAATGAAAATACTCTCACTTGGTTTATAATTCTAGTTTTTTTTCTTTTTTGGTTGGGAGTTTTTAGAACAGTAGAAATGTCTCATTTTTGTTTAAATTAATTTTCTATGATAGTTAATTAATACGATTGATTGTATTTGATTTATGTTAATATGAACATAATTTTTTTTAGTACAACCTGTGGAAGTGGAGGTGGAGGATTCGAACTTATAACTTTTTATTAGAGATATATGTCAATTTTTATGAACTAACCTCATGTTGGCTAACATATACATAATTTAACGATAAACAATTTTTTTTTGTTGTTAAAATACTAGTTTGATCCATCTACTTTTAAAATATTCGTTTTAGTCTTTGCGTTCTCAATTTTGGTTCATTTAGTCCCAGTATTTATTTTGGTCCCTGTACTTTTAAAAGTGACCATTTTTGTTCCTTAATTTTATTCGTAATCTTATTTTTTTCTATCACAATTTCAACACGACACTAAAATTAATATATTTATTAAAATGTAAACATTATTTTATACTAAAAGTTTCCGTTACGTGTAAAATATGTATTAAAATTTTGCAAAAGGGACTAAAAGATCATTCTCTAAAATTATAGGGACTAAAATGAAAATAACTACAAGTACTGAAATTTTTTTAAATCTTTTCGGGAGGTTGAAAATTCAATTCCCCCGCCCCCTATTTATTTTTACTAAAAAAATATATATTTGTTTGTTTTACTGATGAATATATATTCGAGTGTTTTTTTATAAGGGTATATATATATATATATATATATATTAAACGTTAATTTAATTATTTTGATAATTTTATGATAAGTATGTTATTTTTTGAAGTTTGTATCTATACAAATATCCCAAAATTCAAAAAGAGTCTCGTTTCCCCAAAATTCGGTTCCGAATCGGCCGAATTTTCCATTATTGACAAAGTTGTGTCCTTTCTGGCAAATGAGTTCTGTTTTTCAAACTTCTGAATTTTGACTTTTTGGTTCGTTTTCTCACTGCTAGAGAGATTCTCAGGAGGAGAGAGAGGGGTCCGCAGAATCTACCATATTTGTGGGCCTCATGGGGAACAAAGTATGGCCCAAAAGATTCACTCGTGGGCTTCTTGCACAATATCCATTTCGACCCAATTAGTGGTTTCTATCAAGGCCCAATTAAATTTGGTCAATACGGCAATAAGCTGGGATATATCATATAGGTTAAAATACTATATTAGCCCCGTATTTGGTGGTTCTATTTTAGTCTTTTTAGACTTATCTTAAAATTTAATTTTTCTAGTACAACAATTTAGGAATATGAATATCGAACTTTCGATTTCGAAGAAAAGAGTACATGTCAATTAATTTTAAGCTACGATCATGTGGCTATCTCAAAATTTAGTTAAATTTTAAATATAATCTCTACCATCTAACATATGATAGGACAATTTTCTTTTGACCATGTCAGTTGATTTTAATTTCAAACTAACGATAAGGACTATTTTTTAGATTTATTGAAAGTACACATTTTAAAAGTACATGAAATAAAATAGAACATTTTATAAATCATATCAGTGTTATTTATTATCATTCTGCTTTATAGTTCCGGTAGCTGCGAGACCTTCCATCATGCTCAGATTTTTATTGAAAACGTGTCTTTGACCCACGATTTCTGACCTAAGATATAAAACATGAAACTACTATTTTTTTTTACAAATAATTTAAAATTAGTATAATTTTAGAATATGTTTCAAAAACTACAATATTTCTATCAAATGCCCTATTGACCAGAAGAAAACGTTTCTTTGTTTTTTTACCCAACGAAAATAAATCACGAATGATGTTGTGGTAAATTAATGTTTTTTTTTCCCTTGGCCAATATAACATTTTGATACCTAACTTTTATGATAATTCTCAATTTAATTCTTAATTGTTTAAACATATAAATATTAAAATTTATCAATTGGATCATTTTGAAAAATATTTTGCTAGTTTTGTAAAAAAAAAAGCTTCTACCTCACCAAATGGTTGTTTTATTAACCTAAGATAGACACATGTCTAACATTGTTACATTTCAATTTTGTGTCTAATAGATTTGAGAATTTTAAAAAATGTCTAGAATTTCTTAGACAAGAAATTGAAGATGAAAAACTTATTATACCTAATTTTGAAAGTTTATTGTATGCCCTTGCCCAGGATCTCTCGAATTCGAATTCGTCAAACTTGTGGGGTGGCCCCGACATTTTCTTGTGACCTAGTTGTGCCATATGCTTCACTTTAGTTGTTTAACCCTAAGATTGTTCCAACTCAACCACAGTGTGAGATTCTTACGATTGAGCCACCAAAAATAAATGTGCACCTTGTTATTGTTGTTATAGAAATTCGATTTTTTCCAATGTAGAAAATCACTAGCGCTACAGCTTATAAAAATTTCGTTGCCAAAGCCCTTTTCAACAGGCGTAGCACCATCAAGATAGACTTTTGCCGACCAAATCTTACATTCTGTTGGCAAAAATCACCTTTTACGACAAATTACATTTTATCGCTAAATGTATTTGGATGATGAAATTCACTTAATCGATATAGAGTATCTTCGACGATGATATATACTATCATTTCTTTTAAGCTTTTCTTAACCATACTCACATATAATATCAAAATCTTCAAATATAGTGTCGATTTATTCATGTATCCCTTCTCTACCTAAGATGTCATAATTTACTTTCATTTTTTTACTATATGGGGTAAATATTTCTGTTAAAACTAGACTAGATATATTTAAATAGTCCTTATTTCATTAAGAAAAAACCATAAATAAGTGGCCAACAATGTCCCTTTTCCAATCATAACTTTCTCTAACATTTATCTATGTTAAAGATCACGAAGAAATAACGCATATAAAACGTTTGGAAAGTTGACCGCTAGAAGCTTCCACGGTTTAATCGTTCGACTCTCTCCGACAAGTGGCCGGTGGTACTTCACGACCATTGAAGAAACCACGGCCGGCCATCGCCTCCGTGTAGAGCCTCTGCAATGTTGTTGGAAGCGGTGGGAGAGTGAGCTTCCCTTCGAAAAGCGGATTCGCATTGATGCATCTCTTGATATTTGCCATTACAACTTTTCTTGCTTCCTTCAAATTTTTGTAGCTCGACAGCAACCTGTGAGACCTGTTTGTTTATGATGACGATATGATCATCAGACATCCTCGTTTGTAAAATCATAAAAAATAATAAAAAGTAAAAACCATTAAATTATAAGTTTGATCCATTAATTTAGTGGTTTATTTAATTACATTACTTTAAAAAGTTCAAATTAGGTCCCCACTAAATAGCCTTTGCGGTTTAGAAAAAATTGTAACAAGTGACTAAATTTTTTATTTTATATATAATAAGAAATAAGTCTCCATTACTAATTTTGTTAGTGTAAGGCGGCTGTGACATATTATTTAAGAATTATGTCTCAAATGAACTTGCTAAGTGGCCATCATGTTAAATGAATTAATGTGAGTGATTTATTAAACACAAAGTAGATTTTTTTAAAAGTAAAAAGATTAAGCAGACACAACTCTAGTTTTAAGGGCTTATTACAAATTTTGTATCTAAATTTTAAAAATTATGTATAATATTAGGCTTCTAAACTTTAATAAACATCTAACAGATGCCTAAATTTTTTAAATGTTTGTCTAGTAGATCAACTTTGAGAAGTGTTTAGCAAGTTCTTCAACAACGATTAATTCTACAACCTACTTTTCAAATTAATTTAGTGAAATTTCAATTTTCATAGCCCAAACTTGTAGTTTAAGCTAGAAAAGATTCACGAGGCATAATCGATGCAATTTAACCAGCAAAAAGAAAAGAAAAAGGAAAAAGCTGTACGGAAATTGAAAACTTGCATAAAATCCTCCATTTGCACGAGCTCAAAAGCTTGCTGGACCAACCCTGGGTTGTATTCGCTGAAAATTTCGATGTCGTTTTCGACCACCTCCCGAGCAATCTCCCGCTCTCCACTGCATGCAAAATCGCGTCTTATAATCACGTTTTCTTGGTGGAAGTAGAATAAAATTTTAAAAAATAAATAAAGAAGTAGAATAATATATATATATATATATATATATATGCGTACTCGGCCAGTGCTTCGAGGAACTTGAGCTTCCTAATCCCGAAGTAAATCTTGGTGGAGTAGAGATTGTCGTGAATATCGGTGAATCCGCAGAGATAACTCTCGGCTTCATTATAAGCACAGCAATTCAACATTTCTTCGAAGTAACTCATGTTGAAATACAATCCAGTTTCGCATTCCAGCCTCAAAATTCAATTTAAAAAAAAAATCAAATCAAATAATATTTTCTAAAATTAAGGTTAATGATGATTAATTAATTTGGGTTCAGATCTTACGAGCGAGCGGTTTCGGAGAGATTCTGCTGGTCGAGGTAGTGGAGGATGAGGAAGAGAATGCCGCGGTCGGGATCCGTCGCCATTATCGCCGCCGCGTACGGTGGTTTCTGGTTTCTGGTTTTGGTGAGGAGGCGGAAATGGCTGCCGGGGGAGCCTGCGATTTATAACTCCGATCCCGGCCCCACCTCCGCTCCGCCGCCCCCACGTGTCATTCACTGTAACTTGTAACTGCCCACCCCCATATGGGTCCCACCTTCTTGATGAAAAAGAATAAAAAATTCGCGTTCCTTGTAAAACAGCCTCACGCGCACTATAGATTTGAATTTCCACACCTCATATTCGATGTATTAAAAAAATTGATTTGTGTCTAATAACTACTTTTAAATTTCGAAAACGTATTTGTCATAAAATAATATTCAAAGTTCAACCTTTTTAAAAATAGATATATATATATATATATATATATATATATATATATATATATATTGAAAGTTCAACTTATTAATAATTTTTAAGTTTAAATTTTATGATATATAGATATTTTTAAAGTTAAAATTACTTTATTATACACCGCTCTCAAAATTCATGGATCAAATACGTAATTTATTCTTGAAATTTTACATAAATATTAATAAAATAGTGACATTGATTAATTTTTTAAAATGGAAAAAATTATTAGAATCTCTCGAGCTTTTATTGTTCATCTTCTCATTAGAGATTAAATGATTGATCCTGATGTAAAGTTGGTATTGTTATATTTTGAGGTCTCCTAAATTACAATAGCAAAAATAAATGTCTAATGAGCATAAATTTAAATGGACATATATATCTACTAATTGACTTTTATCTCGCGTGAGTTTCACGATATATGAATTCGAGTAATCAATCATTTCCCAATTGCATATATTGTTAGTAAGACAATAATCATGATGGATAACTAACTATCGTCGATAACAAATCTAGTAGTTATTAATTATTGATGTTATTTGGTCAGCGTATCAACAACAAGGAAGTATTAAATGTTTTAACGATCATTATTGTGAACATATCCAAACATAATCAATCATTAAAAAACAGTTTTTTTACCGTGCATAGTTAAGCAGACCACTTTCATGGTCGAAAAATCAAAATTGATATTTATTGACATTTTTTTTTAAAGTAAAATTATATTTGATAGTACAAGAGATCAATTTCCATTTTTTACCTTCCATTAAAATTTCTATGATTTATGGTAAAAGTATAGCTCAACAAAACATATATTTTCAATCAACTTTATTTGTTTTTAAATAATACTAATATAAACATAAATATTAATAATAACAACTGAGAAGTTTGAAAAAAAAAACTTGTAATTTATTGAACTTCTGAAATATTTATTTAATATTAATCCTCACGACATATATATTCAATTAAAACAAAAACCAGAAGGAGTGCACAATAGTAAGCGTGAACCCTTCCTCACAGAATCGACTCGCAGACGCGCGTACGGAGCCTCGCTTCATAAAAAATTGCCAATATGAACACTTTACATGAATGGTAGGTTCGTCGGGACCACACACCAGAATATTTCACCGTGTAAAGCCCTACGAATGACACGTGTCCATTGCCTGAGGCTGTAACTGCCAAAAATAGGTACTGATTTTAACGTTAATTTAAAAATAATAATAAAAGGTTATAAATCAATTAACAAATAGTAAAAACTGTACTAATTTCTTTTTTCTTTGTAATTTAAAGGCACGAAGGGAATGATATATTTTTTTTTTGATAAAGATTGAAGGGTATGGTGTTGATATTGTTGCTGTCTCAATACTGTATTGCCATTTTAAGCCATTAATTGGAATATGGATAATAAATGATGATTTTTCTGTAACAATTGCATGTAATGTTTTAATATGGTAAGGAATCAAATATTGAAACCGTATCAAAATCAACAATTCTAGTGATTTAGACGTAAAAAAGATTTATTTTAAGTCAAATACACCTCGTAATTACAACTTTCTATTACCTTTGAATTCCAATTTTTCGATGGATCATAAGATTTTAAAATATTATTTATATATTTATAAAAGTAATTGTTAAAAATATTTTTTAGTACAACAAATGGAGATGTGGATTCGAACTCATGACCGTAATTATTGAAAATATAATATAAAAAGACGATCCTAAATGTATACTGTCAAAAAAACTGTCTTTTTTGAGAAAATTGTCAAAAACTATGTTAATTACTAATTAACGTAAATATTGACTAATTGAAACAAGATTGAATGGTGGTCAATTGTTCCAAAGGGGTTAGAATTAATTAAGAGGCAATGAGGCATGATGACAATCTGATATATATTGATATGAGTATCTCATATATTATTGAACATGTTTTGAAATACATAAAAGGTTTTTTTGCTCTGCCCACTACAATTTACCTTATTTTTATAATAGGCTATAAATTATATTAGATTTGCAGTTAAAAAAAAAACTAAAGGCGTTTATGTTTCTATCTCGTAATTAGGTTAATTGGGCTTAATCCTGAGCCCATCCTCCCAATGTTCTTAGGTTCGGCCCAGGCGTATGCTTAGAGTTCTTCCTCTTCCCTCCTCAAGAATTTTTAGATTCATCGACGGATCGATGCGGAAAATTTGAAGAATTCATCAGAACGAAGCAAAAATGGCTACGATTCTGGACAGTCATCTTGCATTGTAGAGTCCAAATGACATTAGCTTTTTCTAAACTTACTGACGATCGATTCATTCCGGCACTTTTCCGTCGCCACTGCATCGCAAAATCTCCGCCATGTTAGAGACCGTGCTGGTTCAGACAGCCATTGATTCTTCAGCATTTTGGTGTTTTCTTCCTCCCAATGGTGCAGTCCATGTTATTTTAACTCAAATAATTCGTCTCATGCCAATTCACCGTGCTTTTGAATTTCCCGCCGTGGAGTTTTCTTTGGATTCTCGTCTTGTTAGTTCGTTCACTCGAAATGCTTTGAAAACCGAGTTCCTGTGTCAATTCTGGCCTCTGAGATTCCTTATGTCGATTACGCTTGCTTCTTTTTATGTACGTGTTATCCGTCCCCCGCGGCCATTTGAGCTTTAGCCCTAACAGGATAGTTATTTCAGTCGAAATTCTTGAACTAGTTGAATGATTTATCCATTCTTTCGTTATATTGATTTCTTTTTATAAGCGCACATCCGGACACCATAGACAGAGGTCAAATGTTCTGTAGCTGTTGGCCATTGCTTTCTAATTCCATGTTCATATTACCGTCTGTTTGTAAAGTTGCTCTTTCTCTTCACGTCTTTGACTTTTAACATATTGTTTGGGTTTTACAGATAGGAGCTCCACCTATTGGAATTGTTACACTTTCCATTCTACATGACCAGTTTAAAGGGTCAGTTGCAACTTGCTGTGCTGCAAGATCTATGTTTATATATGTGTGTGTTTTGCTTTCTTCGGGAACATGAAAACAACCTAATTCTTTTTATTTGTTGTAGTTCTACATTGATTGTGTTTCATGAAGAAAATGATGGTCATACGCTAAAAAGACTGTGAAGCTGAGGATGATAATGCTTGATTGATGTAATTGTTTGGAACGATGGTGTAGTGAGGAGGGAATGAAGATAAGTTTTAGCATGAAATAGGTGTCCACGTGATGGTGAGAATGAAAAATGGTCACAATCAGGATGAGAATAAAAGAGAGATGAAGGTTGGACCAGTAGCCATTACCCCATGTCAATTATGGTTACGAAGCAGAGTATTTAAAGCCAGTGGAAATGAGGGAATGAAGAGGATGATTTTGATGATAATCATATGTTGGGGGCGAGGTTCGAGAGTATAGTTTCATCTCTCTCACCATTTTCATCTCCTTCGTTGTAGGATATCTGATCTGAATGGTCGGAGCAAGCTTTGCAGTTGCTCATGAGGCTGATTGTAGTCGGGTCCAAAAGAGCGGACTCAGATAATAAGATATAGTTTGACGAAAGCTTCTTGAACACACAACACTCCCTCTTTCTACCGCATGCGCACGCAGACCCCGAATCGGAAACCATGCTTATATCAAGTCTTTCAAAAAGGCTGGTTCTTTTGTCAAACCCAAGTGAGGATGGTAACATTTGTGATCTCTAGTCTGTGTAGGAATAAAAAAACACTACCCCCACTGGCCCTTTTTACTAGATGTCAAATTTCTCCCCTCTTCTACCAAACCATGTGATATAACTATAACCTGTCCAATCCATGTTTTAACAGATCAGGTGGAAGCGGAAGAAAACAACCTCAAGATATATTGGCAGAAGACATCATCTGTAATCAATTATAATTCTTTTCAAACAAAAAAAACAAGTGATTATCATTTTCCCTTCCAATTTCAGAGGAACTCAGACTAAATTGATAACTTATTTTTAATGTTTGGTGCTTCAGGCAGGACACTGAGCAACAGAGAAACGAGGGAACATGATGAAAGGGGGATCCCAAGCGTAGGAAAATGAAACTGAAGCACGAGGCTGTACAGTGCTACCGTTTATGAGAAGACAAGTGTCCCCCTGCTTTGACAGAATCGATGGAACAACGGGTTCAGTAGTCTGAAACCCTGGGCAGGACAACACGATTTGCTTCTGAGGACAATCGCAATTATTGATCACTTGCACGTTCCATTCAGGCTGCCCCCCAATTTCCCTCCCGCTTCTCTCTGTTCCTATGTTAATGGTGTCCAAACTGCAGTTTCCACCTGCAGAACCTGCAACAAATTTCACCTAACTCAAACTCAGAAAAAGGAAGAGGAAGCTAGAGAGGTAGTAGAGATCGCCAATATTTTATCTGGGATTTTAACTTTTTATCAAATTCTATTACCTTTGTTGATGAAACTTAGGATTAGGATGAGGATTGCTGCAATCATGGTGGAGAGGTTGATCATGGCTGGTGGGGGAACTTTTTGCAAGCTGGCTGGAAGTGCCTTTGAGATAAGTGGAAACCAAATTCTATGTTTTTATGATTGCTTTTTCTTGGAAAATTATGGTATCCTCGTGTCTACATATCTGTATTTTCAATGGCTTTCCTTATTGGCTATGGCAATAATTAAAACTATAATAGTTTCGAAAACAAAAAGAAATCAATTTAAAACTCTTACGCAAGTCTCTAGTGTGATGTGCTGTCAACATAAATTTTCATATGCGTTGACTGTTTTTTTAGACACTGAAAATCTCATGTATTTGAGAACAGAAATAGGAAGATAAGAATTGTGACGTGATTTACCAATCATTCTCTTGATGTTTTCTTTTCTTTTCATTTTTAGATCAAAGTCGATGCTTAGTTCAAATCCTATTACTTCTATTGAAATTTTGCGTTAACTAGAGAACTGGTTGGAATCCCATCCTTAAACTTTCACCTCCTAAGCTTACAAAACTTTTGTAATTAAATCCTTCCATTGCAGCGATAATGATGAGGTTTAATTGTGATAACTTTGTAAGTTTGAAGGGTATAATTATAATTCATTAAAAGACTAGAATAGACCGGATCAATATTTGACGTTAGTTAGTCAGTCCCAACCAACCGATTGTTGAAATTACAAAATCGACCCGTTGGTCGGTTAGATTTTATGTACACCTCTCTAACGACCCCACGTCTAAACTCAGTTTCTCTTTGTATATTTTTTCTTTAGCTTCATTTATAGTTATGTTTCAATTTTCCGCCATTCTTCTATCCTTTGTTCGTATTCTCCCTCTATTTCTCTCCCTCATTAATATCTTTTATTTTTTTACATTTGTGTATGTTTGTGCCAGTTTACGCGCACCTCGATTAATCTCACGGGACAACTGACTCTTCCTTATTAATATTCAATACTCTTCCTCTCCCCCTTTCTAGCATGCCACCACCAAATCCATCTTTTCCTTTCCCTTCTCTCTCATATGCAAGACCACGCCAACTAAATTCATCTCTCTTCTTCTCTTCTCTCTCTCACATGCAAGAGCCCTATGCTCTCATTCATTCTCTCTCTTACATGCATGACTCAACCCCTTCTATTCCCTCTCCTAACCTGAAAAGCCCAATCCGGTTGGTAGTCTCCATCGGACTGGTCGAGTGCTTAAATAAATCATTTTTATTGACATCTCCAACTAATAGTTGTTGTCGAGATTGAGATTGAGCTAACCTTGACTGACTTTCACCCCTAGGAAAATTTTTTAAGGGTTTAATTTTAGCAACTTGTATAGTTTGAGAGTTTATTCTAATTTGTTTTTTAACCTGCCATTGAGCCTGAAAGACATTAAAAGTTTTCTTTATAAGAAGCTCATTCGAAGGTTCGAACTCATGATATAGGGGTGATTTAATCATAACAATTTTTTTAGCTCAAGTGTGCACTACTAGCAGAGTTACAACGATACAACTTACTCACAATGTTTTTAAAAAATTTTTTGGTCACGTTACAAACCTAATACAAGACTAGACTCGGTATGGGTGGTTTAAAAACAATTACATATGGAAGTTCAATTACACACAGGATGGAGATATAGCATTTAAGTTTAGATACTAAAATAGGTATAAATATAATATATATCAAATACTTTGCCAAAGATGTATAATACACAGCATAGAAAGCACTCCCCAATCTTTATTTGCACATAGGATTATAAGTTGGAGAGAAGAAACTAGGAACAAACAACTTGGGAGAAGAAAGGGGTGAAATTAAATAAAGGGTCCCATGCATAAGTGAAGGTGATGGGAATAGAGGAATAGATTGGAAGGCCAGCATTGACCACACATTGAGCCCCCATCTTGGCTAAGATGGTGAGTTTGATGGCTTTAGCTGTCTTGAAACCTCCACACTTGAATCTCACATTCAACTGAGTGCAATTTTTGCATTCATTGCTGATTCTAACTCTCCATTCTCTTTTCCCATTTACCATTTCCCCGGTTGGAGTTTGCCTGATTGCCAAGTCCTCCATAGAGCATCCCCAACCCCCTTCAATTCACAAAACATGAAACATTTCCCACAAAATTAGATAAAGTTTCATATCTACCGACATACACATCCAATTTCAGTTTGTGCTCTGTGATAGATTTTGTGTTCAGCTTGTGATTGAAAGTTCAGATTTATGAAGGTTCGAGAGATAATAAGTTCAAACTTCAAATCATGGTGACCACCTTCTTAAGATTTAATATCATACGAGATTTCTTTGGCAACCAAATATTGTTTCATGAGATTGTTTGAGGTACATGTAAATTGGCCCAGGTACTCGTAAATATGTATAAAAACAGTTATAACTTTGCTGTTGCTGCTTTGAAGCATGGATATGGAAACTACTTTGTTTAAGGAAGTCGTCAAAATAACCTCTGAGGGGAGGAGGGGCCACCTAATAAAGGGGTTGTAGTGACTATGCCCAGGTAGTTGTTTTCTAAAGACACATGTACTTGCAAAGTCGTTGGAATACGTATGGACTATGGAAGATGACATTTGGATGGCGTCAAAAAGGTCAAAGGAGTTGGTGACCTAAAGCTTTGAAGGTAGCTCTCACTAATAATTCTCATGAAACCTTTATTTACCCCGTCTTTCCTTAAAGCTTATTTACTAACAACTTTTTGTTTTTGTTTTTTTGTAAAACTCTTGATTATTTTTTGTTGAATTCAAATAGCCAACATTGATTTTTAGGATTTTTTTAGCTTTTAAATTTTGGTTAGGGTTATAAAAAAGATTACAAAACAAATAAAATTTAAACAATCAAGCTTAATTTTTTAAAAAACAGACAATTAAGAACAAAATCATTACATTGAAAAACCAAAACAAAAGCTCTCATATATTTGCATTAGAAATTTCTTCATTTCATTTTCTAAAAAACAATTATCCACCCTTAAACAAAAGATAGGTAAAAGATTTGACATAGATCTAAAATTTTCAAGAAAATAAAGATATAAATTTCTAAGAGAGTGAACTATTTGATAATACCTTTGGCAAGGAGAGAGAGGAAGATGAATACACAAATAGCCTTGAAGATGACAGCCATTAGCAGGGACCTTTTTTCCTCTCCTTTCACAGACAACTTTTTATTTTCTGTGAGGAAAGGAGGTAGAATATATACAAACATTTATGTGGTAAATATTAATATATATCTCTGTATTTTCTTGTATAAAAAAGTGGATATATATCTTTATTTTATATATGTTGTATGTATACAAAAATGATGACAAAAACACTCCACCAAACTTCATTAATTATAAATGGTTCTCATTCATGTATTTCCTCCTTTTTGAGCTGGGCTTTTAATAAAAATAAAATGCCCCTTAATTTATTTATATTTATCTTTAAATGACTTCCCATCTCAATGATATATTTCCTTTTTATTTTCTTCAAACAAAAATTATTAGTTTAAATACAAAATGGTTCATGTATTTTTTATTTTGGTTCATTTTGATCTCTATACTTTCAACTTTTTTTTTTCATTTTAGTTCATGTACTTTTGGAATATTTATTTTAGTCATCGTACTTTTTAAAAGTGACAATTCTGAGCCTTTCATTTTAATTTTTATCTCATTTATTTTGATTAAAATTTTAACATGAAATATAGTCATAATTTTGTATTAAATGTTTTTTATTGTGTATAAAATTTTGCAAATAGAGATCAAAAACAGTTTAAAAGTACAGTGACCAAAGTAGATGTTTCGATCGTACAGGGACTAACATGTACAAAAATTTGAACATACAAAAACTAAAATAGACATTTTGAAAATATGAAGATTAAAATGAACCAAAGTCGAAAGTGCTGGAACCAAAAAGTATTTAAACCAAAATTATTATCTTTTACTAATCACATATATAATAATTAATCATTAGCCGAATGTTTCTGAAAATCAAATCAATAAAGAAAATACTGCTCTTTTTTATAAATTTTAAATTAAATTCTCTTTTAGGAAAAATGAAAAAGGTGACATACAAAGTATGGCATAAAAAGTAGAAAACATATATTTTTTAAAGAGACATATTTTGCAGAAGTCAACGTGAAATAATTTTATGTGGTAGGTTGGTTTTATGGCGATGGATTCAGTCCGCATAATTCAGGATACTCATTATTTCTTCATTTATTGCATTTAAAGTTTTATGTCATTTAGGAAAAAAGCAAATCAATTTTGTTATATTATTATTTTGTGAATAAAAATTTGAAACAATAAATAGACTGATCTGATCGGTTATGCAAACGATATAGATCTCAATGTCTGTTTTCGATTTATTTTAGTAGAAATCAATAAATTTGTTCGGACACATTCAATTCTTATTATAGTAATTGACAACTCATTATTTAAAAAAAAAGTTTTTGTTTTTTGCATTACTCTTTCTTAATTATCAAACATTTAATGGTGGTGAGGACAATATTACTCCTTACCGTTAAGGAGGCGAGCTTAGAAGGAAGGATTGTCCCGCTCTTAAATTTTAGAACTTTAATTAATGATTACTAGAATATAGTTACTAGTCAAAAGCTGATTGTTAAACATGGTTATAAAACACATTTGTCTCGATACTTCAAAAATAACGACTTTAAATTGGTTAAAATTTAGTGCCAATTATGAAGTATGCATGATTGATTTGTGTATAAAAAATAAAAAGTCATGTGTACAAATTAAGACAGCAGCTATCGGGTAAAAGAATGAATGTGTTAGTTGCCTACATGCAGCTATCGGGTAAAAGAATGAATGTGTTAGTTGCCTACATGAGATCCTTCGCCTTCTGTCTTTCTCCTCCCACCTCGCCAGGGTGGAACTGAAGCAGAGGATTTAGAGCAAATTCCATGAGGAATTTAAACTGGTTCAAGCCAATTTCGATCCATGGTAAGCTTGGGAGGAGACTTTCCCTTGGGGAGTATGAGCGGACGGGATCTCGGTGTCTCTGGAGTAGAGATTAAGGATCTCGATATGGGTGGCTAAGACGATTCATTTTTTTTTAATCATAAATCGTCTAGGACACTGGCCTTTTAATTTATACACATGGATGAGTCACATCATAAATCTAACGTACTTTTTTTTAACATTAGGAACTAAATTGTAATCAATTTTAGACGTAAAAAATGATTTATTTTAAGTCAAATACACCTCGTAACTTCAACATTCTATTACCTTTGAATTCGAATTTTTTGATGGACCATAAGTTTTAAAAATATTATTGATATATTTATAAAAGTAATTGTTATAAATATTTTTTAGTACAACGAGGGGAGAAAGAGGTTCGCACAAGCACCAGGTGAAAACATTAATTATATATTTCAATTGAACTTTTATTCTTTTCTTTCTTCCTTTTTTTCCTTTCCTTTTCTTTTCTTTTATGTTCTTTTGAAATACGGAAAATTCCTTCAAAACTAGATTCCCAGTCCGCATTCATCTTTTTCTCCATCAGAAATGTTACTTAGAATTCTTCTTCGGTTCTTGTTTCCCAATGGTTTTCACCCAAAGAACAGAAATTCGCACCCAGATAGGTGCTACATCAAGGGTATTACTGGCCGTCCTTAGAGATACGACCGATCTTAGATAGTCACGGTCCCAGGCCCGGCCATTCGCACAATGGGGGATAAATCTGATAGGCCCTTGTTGCATGTCCACAATCTATATGAGTACAAGTGCATTATTCTCGTCAATTCACATGTACTAAGGATGTTACTCTAAGCATGCGTTAAGAATACAAAAAATGTAAATAAAAGAAAATTAATGTTCGTATAACTAAAACTCTAGCGGGTAAAATGCTATAAAAATGTAGAGATAAATTCCAATTGAGAAATTTAGCACAAAAGGCGAATTAAGGGAAACATGAATGAGATTAAGAYCGGTGAGACTCCTTAAGCTTCACTTACTCATAGAGGACGCTCTAGTATAAAATCGATGCTAATGCTCAAACCGATGTGGTTCCCTTCCGAGACACCCAAACATGAATACCGTTCTAAATACCCAAACAATAAGAATAGATTTTAAGCATGTTTAGGGGACATTATTCTTTCCTAACTATCCATAAATCTACTAAACAAAAGTAACTAATCCACGAATAGAGCTAATCGCGCTACCTAACTGATAAATGTGGCCAGAAAAAACAGATGAAAATATAAAAGCATCTCTATTTATCAGTAATTAAAATCAGACTAGAGGTCTCTGTTCCTAAGCTACAGCATAGAATCTCCTYAAAAAATGGGGTTTTAGTTCATGGGGAGGGAAGAAATTAAATACAATGGGGAAAAGAGAGAAACAATGTGAAAAAGCTTGAGAAATCCTCTGAAAGCACCAGCTCAGTACGAAACTAGCAGCTCCAGCCTCTTCCCATCTTCCCATCGGCTTATTCTCGAAATGGGGGCAGCTTTCCAGTAGTTCTGGGAATAATTTCTCTTGGGATCTTTTCGCGTATTATAATAATAAATATATTTTTTATTTTTCAAAATCTATACTTAACCTAATTATATTTCTCTATCCCCTTGGCTATAATCTAATAAAAAATAGGTTAAAAAACACTTTTGTCTCTATGTCCAGTAAAGTAACGATTTAGTTCCTGAACTTTTGCTTGTAATGATTTAGTTTTGGGTTTCAAATTTGTAACAATTTAGTCCTCAAACTATGACATGTAACAATTAAATTTGTTAAATTTCTTATACATTTAGATCGATAAATCAATGAATGACCAAATGTGTTTACAAATTACAAAGACTAAATCGTTATAAGATAAAAATCGATACTTAAGTTTGACAAAAAAATTTACGATATGGACTAAATTGTTAAAAAAATGTTAAACTATAAACACTAAATTGTTAGGTACTAAAATTTAAGGACTAAATTGTTATCAATTTAAAAGTACAATGACTAAATTGTTATAAACTAAAATTTAGGGACTAGATTATTATATTAGCAAAAGTATAAGAAGCAAATGTGTTTTTTAACCTAAAAAATATATATATTTTTTCATCATTCTAATCATTTTTTCAAAAGCTCAATTTTTCTCTTTTCTTTCTGTTTCTTTTTTTATATTTTATTTTATTTTTTTATCAAAAGTGAACTAAAACTTGGCGTCAATCGGAGTCGAATGGACATATTAGGAAGAAACTTAGATTTTTTATGTTCATTCTTTTACACACTCAAAAAACATATGTTTCACGAACCTATGAGCTAAAAGGGTTTCTATTGACATAATTTGCCAATATTTCATAAATCTTTTAAAAAAGAATAAAAAATACTATTGATTATGATTATAAACAGGTTTAAATGATATTTTGGTCCTACTTTTTGGCTTGGGATCATTTTGATTCATTTAGTTTCAATTAAGTATATTTTTTAATATATTTTCAATTTTTATTCATTTTAGTTTTTATATTGTTTAAACATTCATTTTAATCCTTTTACTTTTAAAAAGTTATCATTTTGATCAATTTAATTTTTTTTATCTCATTTATTTCCAATCAAAATTTTAATATGATACTTTTTAAATCACTAATTTCTTTTTTAAATGTAGCCATAAATTTGTATTAAAGGTTTTTATTCAATATAAATTTTTTGTTAAATATTGTATGTAGAGATTAAAATAGTCACCTTTTAAAAATACATAAATTTAAAAACAAACATTTTAAAATTACATGAAACTAAAATAAACAAAACTTAAAATTAAAAGACCGAATTAGATATTTAAACCCAACAAATAATTCTCTTTGTTTTTTTTTTACAATTATTTATATTGGAAAAAATTTCCCAAAATTTGACTTTTGCATGAAATTTAAATATCCTTAAAATAAATAAATAAAAGTTTTCAGAATTACTTGAAGAAGAAATATAAAAAATTGATTTAGGGTATGTTTTGGGGTGATTTTGGTAGAGTAAAAAATCACTTTTATTAAACATGGTTAGAAAATACATTTGGTCTTTATACTTAAAAAATAACGACTTTAAATTAGTCACAATTTAATCCCCAATTAAAAAGGAAAACAACAAACACACAAGCTAATAACACCAAAAACATTCCTCCTCACATCTTGCACGGCTAGTTTCTACTTTTATTGCAAATGTTCTTTTCTTTTCTAAAATAATATAACATTATAATTGCATAGCAAAGATTCAAAATTCTAACTGTACTCATATAGTGATATTTTAACCGTTAAACTATATGCTCTACTTTTATTGCAAATGTTCTTTTCTTTTCTAAAATAATATAACATTATAATTGCATAGCAAAGATTCAAAATTCTAACTGTACTCATATAGTGATATTTTAACCGTTAAACTATATGCTCGATAAGCTACAACAAAACTGTGGGTTAAGACTTGATATATTTCATGTGGTTGCATATGCAATACATATCACAAACCTAAGAAACAAAACCATAATACAAACTGTGGGGGTATTTTAGTAATTGTAAATAGAAAAAAAGAAAAAAGAGGAAATTAAGAACAAGCAACTTGGGAGGAGAGGGGCTTGAAAGGGAAAATAAGATCCCAAGCATAAGTGAAGGAGATGGGATCTGATTTGAAGATTGGCCGACCACCGTTGATCAAACACTCATTCCCAGTATTTGTTAACTTTGATGAATCAACAATCTCCTCTGAGGAAAATCCAGTGCAATCCAACTTCACATTGTACTGAGAACAAACACAGTTGTTTGAGACTGTCACTAACCATTCTTGCTGCCCTCCAACTCTTTTTTCAGTTGCTTCTTGCTTGATTGAAATGTCACCCAACGAGCATTGGCAGTTGCCTGAAAATTATTCATCCGAAACAAAATTAGTCGACTTCGACGACAAAACGGGTCGTTCTCGATTTGTAGATACGAGAGATTGTTATAGTTCGTTCTCGTCGTCGACTATCGTGTGGCATTGTGGCCTTTGTTTGTTAACTTGATGAAAGTTAAGTCAAAGCACTCAATCGATATTGAATGTTAATTAAAGGGTCGATCTGTCACCCCACAATTTTTAAACTAAAATTTGGAAAAGTGGGTGAAATGTTTTTTTAGAACAATAATATGTGGGGTGGGGGTTTCAATATGTTATGGCGTGCTGATTTTTACAACTGACTTCTTCATGAAACTAGAAAAAACGCTTGTAATATGAATTAGGGATGCTCATTTTTTCCATGGGAATGGGTCGTGGGACTCGCCCTAAACAGGGGTGGGGAATCCCCGTTTAGATTCCTTGCAGGGTGGGGATGAGGATATTTTTCCCCCTTCCCCGTTCCCTGCCCCGCCACAATTTTTAAAAAATATATATTTATATATATACTAAATATAAATAAGCTTTTTTCCACCTTACCTAAAGGGATGTGTGTGAAAGGATTAAACCATGTAAATGAAGTTTTATCAAAATTCAGGGATTTAAACTGCAACATGATCATAGTAAGATGAGTTTCTAAATATATATACCTTTGGAAAGGAGACAAAAGAAGAAGAGTGCACACAAAAGCTTGATGGAAGCAACCATTTCTTTATGCTTTTCTTTTTCTGAAAAGTTATATGTTTTGAAATGCAAATCAAAGTCTTATTTATAAGGACCCTTTTCAAGGATATAATGCACAAAAATTGTACACAAAATTATTTTATTTAATATCTTTCCATTTGAAGATGGTAATAATTTAGAAATATTTTGAATTTAAACAAAAATGTCTAGTAATTGAATGCATATATATTTCAAAAATGTCAACTATTTCACAAATATTTGGGAAGTAAATCACTTTCCATGTTAGGAGTAACCAGAATCAGTTACAAATGACTGTTATTTTTTATTTTCTTAAAATAAGGAAAAAAAGTAATCTTTGAATTCAGTGAAAACATAGGACTGTGTTTCCTTATAAGAAAAACAAAAACATGACTCGACTATTATGGTTAATAATTATACATTTAACCCTAATTTTTTTCATTCAAGAGGTGAAAATTTGAATATCTAATTTTAAATTTCGATTCTATCTATGAGTTTTTTGTTATCTTCTATTCAATTGTTGAAAATAACACTATTGATATTATAGATAAAGAAAAATAATCATCATGAGTGGCTCATTGGTCTAGAGGACTTAAGATGAATTAAGAAGGAATTGGTTCAAACTCTATGATAGCAGCAGAAAAAAAAAAAAAATATATATATATATATATATATATATATATATGGCACCTAGAACATCTATCTTATAACTTTAGAGGGATCCAACCCCACATTATGTTTTGAGTTCTCCAACAAATACACAGTTGATGATTAGGGATGACAACGGGGCAGGGCCGGGGGCCATCCTCATCTCCGCCCTCATCCCCGATAAATATATTTATTTATTTAATTTTTTTTTCATTTTTTTTATTTTTATGGGGGTTAAAACTAAATAAAAAGTGGCTAAATGGGCCTCGTGCTTAGACTTTTTAAAAAATATTTAAAAATTATTTATTAAAATTAATATATATTAAAATTATCATATATAAAAATATAAAAATGAATAAAATATTAAATAGGGAAGGATCAGAGACGGGGATGGGGAGGAGAGATCTCTCTCATCCCCGCCAGAGACCTAGATTAGGATTTGTGATCAAACCGGAGATTCTCCGACCCGATCGATCAGATATCCATAGAGATAAAGGTTTCGTGGATTTTTTTCTACCCCTATTGATGATTGTCCCCACGCAAATACAGTACTATAAAAGAAAAAAAGAAAAGCCATTTCTCACGAGAGAAAAGAAAAGAAAAAATCTTGATTTTTTTTTAAGATAGGGAGAATCTTCAAAATTTTAATGCGGACTTTTATTAGTAAAATGACAAAGGACCAATTGGTGACTACTAGGAATAGAGACGTTACTAACGTGATGCACTTGCTAGTACTAGTACATCTGAGAATTCTTAATTGGCTAGTTGTAAATAGACCCAGACTGTGGGACAAAGGATTATCCCGGACCTACACCGAGGTATTGACGGTGATTCTCAAATATCGCAGAACAGAATTTGATACGATGAGATAGAATGCAATAGAAACAAAGACACAGGGAACGGGTTACCTACTCTTAACGGTCAAAGCGAACCCTTTCATTCCGAAAAAATACCATTTATGGGTATTTCAATCGAAATATCGGAAGGGGGCGGTAGCTCTTTTTCTCGTTCTTGAAGTGATTCAACTCATCATTTTCGTTGTACTAAAAAAAACTCATCATTTTCTGATTGTAAATTAAATATTTTAATAACCGTACAACACTTAATAATAACAATAAAAGACTAAAAGATACATTTTTATTACTTTTTTTTAGTACAAAAATAAATTTGGTATGAAAATTGGGTATTTTAATGAATGATATATTAATGGAGAAAATCCTCTACATAATATTTATGATTATAGTTTGCTATTTTCGATCATATTTACTTTTTTTAGTACTTCATATTTATTTATTTATTTGAAGGAAACGATTTTCTTTTTTCTTTTTTTAACTTATTTTTTATTTTTTGAAGAATTCTCCCACTATTTATTCCTTTCTAAATATCTCTCCTCTCAATGGTAGTATAAGTTCTCAGGTCCATACCAAGCATGAAGGTTTTGGTTTCTCTTTCTCTGACTTAACAAATAGAATATGTGTTTTTTTCCTTTCAAATCGATCATCTTAATAGAAATACGTTAAGAGACTCAATCAAATAAGAAATTCATCGCTTATATAATCAAAGATCACCTTGAAATTAAGATGAATTACTAATGACCTGGACAGATTCAAAACAACAATTTTACAAATGCACATATTTTTCTGTCGGAAGAATAACCTATGTTTTTTTAGAGATATTTTTACTTATTTTCACAGTTAAACGACGGTCCTCTCTCCCACTCAATTATTCGAATATCAATTACGCAAATTTAAGTACATTGACATTGGATCAAGAAAATTATAAAAATAATTTGAAAAAAACAACATGAATATATTAAAATATAGTTCATATCATAAACCCTAAATACCATTACAACTAAGAAAGAAGTTGTCCTAAGGGCACAACAGCCCAATGGCAAGAACATAGAGTCTTGTGATACCATCTACTATTGAGCTTAATACTAAAAACTCTCGACAAATCTCGAGTCCAAAGCAGAATTATAAAGGTAAAAAGTTAAAAGAGGTATCGATTTCAAGTTATAAAAGAAACCGAGGAGGGAAGTTAAGAACAAGAAACTTGAGAGAAGAGGGGCTTGAAAGGGAAGGCATTGTCCCAAGCATAAGTGAAGGAGATGGGTTTTGGTTTGAAGATTGGTTCACCATTATTAACCAAACAAACAGACCCAAAAACCATTAAAATGGAGGAATCAACATCCTCCACTGTATTAAATCCATTGCAATCAAACTTCACACTGTATTGAGAACAAACACAATTGTTTGTGATTGTGGCTCTCCATTCTTGCTTCCCTTCAACTTCACTTCCAGTTGTGTTTTGCCTGATTGTAATGTCACCCAATGAGCATTGGCAATTGCCTGCAAAATCATCCGAAACAAAACTTTCAAAATACAGTACAACAAGACGGGTTACAAAACGTAACATGCTAGCTAGTTTAGTTCGATCCCCTGAATAGCTTTCAGATGTTTTGTTTTAGTGCTTCAATTTTGTAAAAAAAAAAGAGATTTAAGTATAATTGATTTTCCTAAAATCAAAATTTTAATTTGCCAAACATGATTACTAGAAAGTAAAATGATTTTGACAATGGCAAAAGTAAACCAAAATCACTCCCCAAACACACCTTTAGTTTTGTCTCTCTTGTTGATTTTTAAAGTAAATCCATCAGGAGAGAAAGGTAGCTTTATAGAACTCAAACGTGTGGGTGTAACTAACATGTCTTGTCTTCTGTTCATTTCTTAATTACTCTCGATAAGTAAATGTTGATCGTAGACACCCGTCGTAGTAGGTAATAAATGTTAACTTTGAACGTAAAAGCTAAAACAAAGTATTTTAAAATTTAGAGGCAAAAATGAAGAGCAAAGAACATGTTTTATAAAACTATATGTACCTTTGGAAAGGAGAGAAAAGAAGAAGAGTAGAGAGAAAAGCTTGATTGAGGCAAACATTTTTGTGGTTTATGGAATAATAAGTTGTGTTTTGTGGATAGAAATAAAGTTGGAAAGTGTGGTCTTATTTATAGAGACCATTTTGAGGGATATAATTAATGCACAAAAAAGAAAAAGAAAAAAAAGAGCATAAATCAACAATTTTTATTTGTCAAAGCGAGCATAGCTCAGCGGTAATTGATATATACTTCAAAGCGAGAATTTGTGAGTTCGATTCTCACCGCACGTACGTATTGTACTTAAAAAAAATCAATAACTTTTATTTAAAACCTTTCCACGAGAGGTGGTAAGCAAAATTGCCAAGTAATTTAATTGAATCAATTCTTTTGGGAAGTCATTAATCACTTTCCTTCTTAAGAGACACACATTACCGGTTACATACAGCAAAATTTTAAATGTCGAAGCCTTCAATAGACATTTATAAATAATAAAAAATTCTTAACAAATAAAAACTTTACCATTTTAAAATAAGTTAAAAATGATTAATATTAACCTGACGTCTATATTAGTGATATTTTATTGATATTTTTTACAATACTGTATGAAAATGTCAATAATTCACCTCATGTCGTTGTCAAACTTATGAATATATGAAAATGTCGATAAAAAATATTTAATAGCTTACCTATGGCTATAGATTTGGTCTCAAATTTTTGAATTGTATCTAAAGGTTCATGGTTCATTTTTCTATTTAGTTCTTGCTATTAATATCCATCAATGAAATGTTCATTTAGATTTTTTTTTATTTAACTTATAATTAACAACTTATCACTTGTATAGTATATTCTCTAAAGAAAATGTTAATAAATATATATAAATATATATATATATATATATATATATATATATATATAAACGGGTTAAATGATCATTTTGGTTTTCTTCTCCTAATTCTATTATAGGTCAAGTATTTTGATCAAATATGGTAAGATATACAATATATGAATTAAATTTACCCAATCCACAAGTTTAAGCTTTTGGATTGAATGATGGTTTATTCATCTTTAAGATGGTATCAGAGCGGGAGGTTTTGTGTTCGAATCCTAATTGTTTCCTCCCAATTTATTATGATACCCAATACTAAGGGAACTTTTTTTTAGCAAGAAGATTGAGTGTTTATATATAATACATGTCCAGACAGCGCGAGAATAGGTAAATAGAGACAATTGGAAGTAACACTGAAGGTGCATATATATTTAATTCATATAAAAAAGCAGTAGAAATTAGTAATTAAACTGTGTTGTGATTGTGAAGAAATAGATAGAGATGGAAGTAGTAAATAGGTAAATAGTAAAATTAACCACAGTAAGTTGTGGAGGAGAGGGGGGTGAAAGGGTAGGGATTATCCCAAGCATAAGTGAAGGAAATGGGGGCTGATTTGAGGAGTGGCCTTCCACTGTTAAACAGACAAACATTGGCAGCACTGTTCAGTATTGCTGGATCAACATTCTCCACTGTCTGATATCCAACGCAATCCAACAATATGCTTAGCTGTGAACAACCACAGTTGTTTGAGATTGTAACTCTCCATTGTGTCTTTCCCAGCACTTGGGATCCTGTCGGGCTTTGGCTCACTTTTATGTTACCCACAGAGCATTGGCAATTACCTGAAATTCCAAAATCATATGGGTCAATTCCGTCCTAAGTTTCCAGTCAGTGCTTAAGACACCTGTGTACGACTAGAAGGTTGTGATCAGTTTGAATCTCCCACCCTGGATATGGTACTCAAAACGTAAAAAAAAAAAACGATTATGAGTTTGGTCCATTTACTTCCAAATAATATATACGATCAAAACATGGTGGATTAGAATGTCGTGAGTTCGAATCTCCTACCCCAGATATTGTACTCAACAAGAAAATAGAAACATCATGAATTCCTAGTCAGCCTGAGTATAACTCAATATGTTAAGGCATTTATGTATGATCAAAAAGTCAGTTTGAATCCCCTGCCTCAGATATTGTACTAAAAAAGAAAAGAGAAACACATCGTGGGTTTCTAGTCAACTTGAACATAGTTCGGCGGGAGTTCGAATCTCCCACCCCAAACGTTGTACTTAAAAATAAAAATAAAAAGGAAAAACCTACGAGTTACTCGTATATGTATGTACCTTTGTAGAGGAGAGAAAAGAGAATTAGTACACAAAAAAGCTTCATGGGGACTGCCATTTTCAACCCTTCTTTTCTTTTCTTTTCTTTTCTACTCAGAGAATTAACAGGTTGTGTTTTTTGTTTGATGTGAAGTGAGTTTGGAGGAAGTAGTGTAGTCCTATTTATTGGAAAATTTTGTGGAATGGTGTTTGGGAATGACAAATTTCAGGTATATTTTTTTATTGTGTTTCCATTTAAAGACTAATTTCAAATAAAACCAAAAATTGCCAACTAGTTATTACATAATTTTATTACTTCACAATCAACTTTCCAAATGTGATTATCTCAAGATTTAACTCATAAGAAATGAAAGTAAAAGGTGATTTGAACATCGACCTCAAAAAAGGAAGTTATACGCCTTTATTATTTAGGCATGTTTATGTTTATCTTTGTATATACTAGTTTGATACCAAGTACAAATACGCTAATATTTTCTATTTAACTTAATTTTATAATAACATAAATAAATGAGAAAAACAAATATCACTAATAGCAAAATAATAATAATAATAAATAAATAAAGAAAATTAAGATGTATATATACAAACTTCATTGAGATATATGTACTTTACTAATTTAATCATTTAATCTATGAGTGTATTTAAAATGTATTATTTCGTACCTCTTATTTTTAATTAATTTTAGGTTACATTTCATATTTTTTAATATATTGATTGAAAAACGTATAATTACTTTAATTTTTCATTTTAACAATGTTATTTTATCTAATTTTGGCACATTCTTTTTAAAAAATATTTTGTTTGTTTATTAGAAATTCTAAAAAAATTTCAAGCTAGCATTTTGTTGTATATTAAACACTTTAGTTTTACTAATTTAACTTCATATTATAATTAAAATTATTAAAAAAAAACCTTTAAATTATATTATATTATTAGAAAAGGAAGAGACAAAAAGTTATATATTCCAAACTTTTTAGATTTCATACAAGTTATTGTTCATAATTAATTTACTATTTACAATTAATTAAAACTTTTTTATGTCCTTACGCAATTTTTTTTCAACAAAATCAACATGAGCTTGTAATAGATTAATACATTATTATTATTTTCTAAAAAAACATTTTAAATACATGAAACATTAATTATAAAAGAACAATACAAAACAATAGTAACAAAAGAATAAAAAAAAATCAAACTTTAGCTATACACTAATCTAAAATATGTTGATACTTAACAATCACTATTATTTTACCTCATAAATTATGGAACAATAATTTTGCAAGCCTCAGATTCAAGATATAGATTCGACACAGGTATTCTCTAAAACTTGATGAATATATTATTTTTAGATTAAATAATATTTGAGAGTAATGTTTGGAGAGAATTAAGTGTTGTGAAAAAATAGTGAAAGAAAGTATGTTTTTAGGGTAGTAGGAGATAAAACGTTACAAAATATTTGTAATTCTATTATGAATTGTAATTAAAGAAAATAATTTGATTTTATGGTGAAAACTTTTTGTAACATTGTTTAGATCATGTACATTTATTATTATTGATAATTAATAATCAATAATTATAATAAATTATTAATGACATAATTTGTAAATTAATAAATTAAGGAAGGGACAAGAACGTACAAAAAAATATTTTTCCGAGATCCTCCCATTTTAATATAGTAAAGATATAGATTAATTATTATGAGCAAATCTTTTACAAAAGTATTTATAACAATTTATGGTCATAGATCCACTATTTTCTACCATATTTATTTAGTTATTTAAGGAAAACGATCGTTTAGGAAAGGAAAACAATGCCTTTTAAAATACTTTCTCAAGGGTTAGTATAAGAGTTTTAAGGCCATACAAAACCTTAAGGTAAAAGTCCTTCTAAAATTAGTTAAAATTATAAGTTTACTCCTCAAACTTTGAAGAGAATTTTATTTAAAAAGTGTTTAGTAATTCCCCGAACCTTTTAACTTTGTATCTAAAACTTCGCTGCGGACTTTTTAGAATTTTTTTTTCGAAAACTAATAAACCCACCAGACACAAAATTAAAATATTGTCTAATAGGTCGTTCACCAGAATCAATTGTCATATTTTTGTGGTCAGAATTGGCCAAAGGAAAGTCTTGTCTCCACTCAATTACTTGAAAATCAATTACGCAAATGAGAGCGAGTCGATAACAGAGAAAATTTGAACAATACTCGGAGCATGTTATGCATGCAAAACATTCATATCTTTATTTAATTCATATCATAAACCTCAGAAACCAATACAACCAGCTGAGTTCTTCTTTTATCTGTAAATCGCAGAGAGAGAGAGAGAAATTAATAACCACAGTAAGTTGTGGAGGAAACGGGCTTAAAAGGGAAGGGATTATCCCAAGCATAAGTGAAGGAAATGGGATTTGATTTGCGGACTGGCCAACCAGTATTCACCATACACACATTCCCTTGAGGGTATAAGATTTTTGGATTAACATCCTTTACTGTCTTATATCCATTGCAATCCACCGTTATAGCCATCTGGGAACAAGCAGCACATTCGTTTGAGATTGTAACTCTCCATTCTTGTTTTCCCAGCACTTTGGATCCAGTGGCAGTTTGCCTGACTTTAATGTCATCCAAAGAGCATTGGCAATTACCTGAAAATCATTCAATCCAACAAAAACAATGGTTAAGGCTCAGTTTTGTCAAATGGGTTTGCTTTCAAACATGATGAAAAGATGAGTTTCCATCATATATACCTTTGTAGAGGAGAGAGAAGAGAACAAGCACACAGAAAAGCTTCATGGAGACTGCCATTTTCAACCTGTTTCTACTCAGAGGAGTTGAGATTTTGGTTTGATGTGATGTGAGTTTAGAGGGTGTAGTGTAGTCCTATTTATAAGAAAATTTTTTAGAATGGTTTTTTGAAATGGCAGAAGTTGCAAAAAATGCAACGGTTACAAATCGGGTATTTTGTTTATTGTATTCCTTTGAAAGGGCGATTTCAAATCAAAGAAAATTGCCAAAGTAATTTATTCTTGGAACTTTTCCTTTTATACTCGAGAGAAGAAAAGTTCTGTTTTTGATGTGAAATGAGTTTGGGAATTGTAGTCCTGTTTATGGAAAACTTATTAAATGATATTTTGGAAATGGCAGAAAGAATAGAAAATGCCAGAGGTACAAATCATGTATTCTGTTAATTGTCTACTCATTTAAAGGGAATCAAACAAAATTGCTAAGTAATTATTACAGAATCTCTCCACAATCAACTTTCCAAATGTGATTATCTCACATTCAACTCATTCTCAAAACATTCTATAAGCAATTTCTTTGAGATATTTGAAATTTCTTGGGCTCGTCATAGAGAGTGGGTGTCGATGGTGGAGGAAGTGTTGCTCTACTCTCCCTTTTGCGAGAAAGGGAGTTTCCTTCGGCGGGCGGGGTTCTTTGGGATTTTGTGGGGTATGTGGGGGAAAGAAACAATAGAATCTTTAGGGGGTGGAAAGAGAGTGGGAGTTTGTTTGGGACCTCGTAAGGTTTAATGTCTCTTTATGGGGTCCGTTTCAAATTTATTCTGTAATTATCAGTTAGGTCATATTCTTTTGGATTGGAAGCCCTTTCTCTAGGCTGCCTTCCTTTTTCGGGACTGTATTTTTTGTATGCCCTTGTATTTCTGTTTTGTTTTCATTCTTCTCAATGAAAAGTTTGGTTTCTTATAAAAAAAAAACAGTCTATAAGCAATGAAAATAAAAGGTTGGGAAAGATATTGATTCTTACAAGGTTTTGTTGCAGAAGAAATCATTCAAGTTGAAGCAGCTTGGTGCTCCTGAAGTGAAAGAGGAACGGTTGGTCTCCAAGTTGTTCCATTTGGGCCATCCATTAGAGAAATTCCAACAGTAGCCAGATCGGTCCTGATTGCATCTGATTTTTCATACTCCTTATTCTTTCTTGCTGCATTCCTCTCTTCAATCTTTTGTAGAACTTGATCATTAGTCAACTTCGCGCGTATTAAAGCCTTTTCCTTCAGCTGTTGGAGGGCCTGCAGCAACAAAATTGTTAGCAAGTTTGTTTCAAAATATTCTGCTAAACTTCAGTGGTGCAACAGAGTACCGAGGGAGGCAAGAAGTCTTCGTTTCTTATTCGCTATTATCAGTTTCTGAAGGGTGAGGTTCACATGTCAGTTTATATATTAAAATCTTATGAATACAAAGTACCCAAGATTGTCACAGGATTTGGTTATAGTGACATCAATCTGTTTCTACCTCAGAGTAACTGGCAGGCATCAGTCCTAAGATGGACAACACACTTCCTATGATCTTCTCCAAAGCTGCAAGAGATTCTATTCGAAATTCCTGCTTCTTCCCCTGTAGGATTTCGATTACATGTGTTACAAAGAATAGAAAACTGCAACAAAATATGAGCATATAGATATTCCGATGTTAGTAAGAACAGCAAGACTTATTTTACAAATGAAGGGCAAGCAGCATGAGTTAACAATATGTGAAAGATGCGGGGGAATAGTTACCAAAGTTAAGTGGATACAAACATGATCCTTCTCTCTCTAAAACACTCACTTAAAACTTTCATGATCTTGAACCAAGACTATATCTCGAACATTGTTTAGATGAATCAAATTAATAAGTGAGTCTCATAAATACATGACTATGATTTTACCAAAACATTAATAAATAGGTAGCACATTTTTTTATGAAAAGTCGAGCTTTCCTAGAGAAAAATTAAAGAAACAAACAGATAATACTAGATGAAACACAACTGCACTGAAGCCTAAGATAAGCATGTTTTCTGGACGAGAAGCTGTACTAGATACTCATCTGCTAAACATTGAATATATCAGAATAAATCGAGCTACAGCTATATCTAATACCTTACGAGTATGTAACAAATCATTGATAATTTTCAAAGGATCTGATAACGCTGCCAAAACCACAGGAGTGTGAATATCATCGGACATTGAGGTCAGGACAACATTGTAGAATCTGTTGATTTCTTCCACCACACTTGGGGCAATGGAACCCTTAAAACTTGATTCATCTTGCTGACTAACAACAGCTCTACAGTCATCAAGAGTCTGCAACCATTCAAATTCAGTGAAATTAAATAAATAACGATCCCTAAGATAAAGATGTGTGCATCTTACATTGTGATACAAGAACCACAGGGTCCAAGAAATGAAATTTAAAGTGAGTGGCATTCGTATTTATTGAAACAGCACGATGTTCTCATGTGTATTGTCCATGCCTTTTCTTGTAAGTGTCTACTTAGTGACGATAGCAGTTTCTATGTCCGTATAACCATTATTTATCATAATAAAAATTGCATGCTGTAGTACCTGATAGATGTAAAAAATGCGATCCGAAGCACTTTCAAGCAGTAAATCAGAGTAGTTGATTGGAGAACGATAATGTGTACCCAACAAGAAAAGCCTCAAAGCCAGTGGATGGTAAAGATCTATCACCTGGAAATTAATTGTTATCATATTGAAAACCAACTCTTCTAATAAAAAGAAACAACAAAAATCAGATCCCGCAATGGATTTCCATAAAATGCAAGGAAAAAGGAAAAGGGGAAGTCTAAATGAAAGATTTTTAAATCTACCTGCCGAATGGTGAAAAAGTTCCCAAGAGATTTGGACATTTTCTCTGAGTCAATAGTCACAAAACCATTATGTATCCAGTAGCTTATATTACTCGTTCTGCAAGCAGCACAGCTCTGAGCAATTTCATTTTCATGGTGGGGAAATACAAGATCCATCCCTCCACCATGTATATCAAAAGAATACCCCAGATAAGTTGCACTCATGGCACTACACTCTATATGCCATCCAGGCCTTCCGGGACCCCATGGGCTTTCCCAAAATGGCTCCCCCTCCTTTGCAGACTGCATGACACCAAAGGACTTCAACAATAATAAATAAACAGGACACACATGCGTGAAGAATAAGTAAGGTGAACTATCATACAATTTTGAAGTTCTGTGTTTATCTTTGTCAGTTACACTGATAAGGCAGCTGATCTGTACCTAAAAATGAAGCTTGAATTTTTCAATAGGGTTGTTTAATTTTCTTTATTTATCTCCTATTTAAAAATAAAATAAAAAATCTTTATGTATCCCTTTCATTTAGAGAGTCTCATACTTTGATGCTATGCATGCAAAGCTTATCAATAATACAAGTGAACCAGACTTACCTTCCACAAAGCAAAATCAGCAGGGTTTTTCTTCCTGGAGTCCACGGCAACCCGCTCTCCAGCTCGATTATCCTCTAATTTTCGCCCAGACAATAGTCCATATTTTGGAAATTTATCCACATTAAAGTACACGTCACCCTCAACACAATATGCATATCCATTATCAAGAATCTGTCAAGACACAAAAGAAACAATTAATTGCTTGTCTGCACACCTCCCTTCCTAGAACCAACAGTGCAAGACAAGACAGACACACGCAGAGCATAAAAGAAGCCAAGAAGTGAAAAATATATGCTTATTGAGACAAAATATGGTTTTAAGGCTTGTTGAAAAATCAAGATAATACGATTGCCTTATTAAGTTATAAGTTCAATCAAATGAGAATCAGAAATGAAGGAAAATATTACCTGCTTTATCATATCAATGATCTGAGGCATGTGGTCCGAAACTCTTGGTTCAACTGAAGGAGGCAAGCAATGAAGATACACCATATCCTGACAGAATTCTTCACAGTAACGTTTACTTAAATTAAGCGGATCTTCCCCCAACTCGTTTGCTCTAGCAATTATCTACAGAATTTGAAAAGTGCAGACTCAGGATCCTGTCATAGCATTATGAAACAAGTTGGTACCAAGATAAAGGAAACATTATAATATCAAGCATTGAATAAGTATGAGATGCTCCAGTTCTGCGTATATATTCTTCCTGAAAATTTAACTTCGTGAGGCACTTAGGCTCCCAAATTTATCTACCCAATGCAGTATTACTTTGCTCTCTCTTTAACCGGCACCCCCTTACAGATAATTTATCTACCCAGACTAATCTCACGGTTAACGGATTGACCCTACTACTTCCTTTCTCTCTTTATGAGCCAAGAAAGGGAAACCATTCACTGTGACAGATGTACCTAACAAATCACAGAATCAAGCAAAAAGTAATTGAAAGGGGGAAATTTTTCAGTCCATTCTAGTTCTCGGTCTTCTTGTTAGTATCAATCTCACTTCCTAAAAGGGAGTAGTGAATGTGAAAAAGAAATGACAGTTTGAACATGAGAAAATGAAGTTTCTTAGATAAATGACACCATCATAGCAAATTCACTCACTTTATCATCCACATCGGTGAAATTGCGAACATAAAGCACTTCGTATCCCAAATGCCTCAAATATCTGGTTACGTTTCAACACAGAATGGCAAATCAACAAAAGAACGAAACAAACCAACTCATCACTTCCAATAATAATAATAATAAATCCAAAGAACTTTAAATAATCAAATTCTGGAAAACTAAAGCTTTACCAGTCTCTTCTCCAAGCAACCACGAGTATTCATTTTAAGGAAAACAAAAAAAAAATGAAGTAAAACTCAGAAAGAGCGAATACCTGTAGAGCACATCGAAAGTAACGTAAACACGAGCATGGCCAATATGGCTGAGATCATAAGCAGTGACGCCACAAACGTACATGCCCACTTTACCTTCAACTTTGGGCTTGAACAACTCTTTCTTCCTACTCATTGTGTTGTGCAACCAAAGTTCCGACCACATACTCTCGCGGCCAACAACGCCAATTTCTTTGCAATTCTTCTCACGAACCGGCTGCTGAGATGAACTCAGAGAAGTAGTGAAACAAGCAAAAGTTCTCCCAGAATTGAAGAATGAAAAATGGGAATTGCGGCGAGTCCTGCGGAGAATCGTCTGAGAGAACCGAATTGGGGAGAATTGGGTGAACGTCAATGGCTTGTAGAACTTTAGGAGGGAAGCCATTTTCGCGGTGTTCCTGATTACCCTTCTTCTTCTTCTTCTTCTTCTGGCGCTGGTATAATAATACGTTATCCGCGATTGTGAACTCGGACTTTGACGAGCGATAACTCACGGGTTGACTCGCAGACGCAAACTTGCAATTACATCGTAAACATAAAATAAATACGTATTTTTAAATGTAACAGAAAATTTTAGAACACATCCAAAAATATAAAAAATTTACTATATTAGAAAAAGATTTTAAAATTTTGTGATATATATATATATATATATAATCTACAACCTATAAATATCTCAACCATATTGTTAATGGACGATTCAGTTTGGCACAAGTAATATAAAAAAAAAATGAAAAAATATTTAATAATCCGATTAAAAAAAGGAAAAAGTTTAAGCACATTCAAAATTTACTTTTTATATGTATTCTGCATTTCAAATATTAAAAATAAAATGTATGCTTTTATTTAAGTTTTAGAAAAAACTGAAAATAATAACAATAAACTTTATTTTGTTGTTGCCAAAATTGTGTTTTTTAAAAATGAGAAATAACCAGAAATCATTACTAAATACATATATTTTTCAGAAATTAGACACAAAAGGTTACCTAACGAAACTGAGTAAATTATAACATTTTTTTAAGTTCGAAGACAATTAAAAAAAGAAAAAAAAAGTAATTCAAAAACGACATAGACATATAGATTAAAGAGTAATCTTACACACACATACATCAGATGGTTTGTTTTCTTTTTGAAATTAGTCTTTTGTCACACTATGATAAAAAAATTAAATGAAATAATATATATCATACTAATGCAAGTAGTGAAAATAAAAGGATGAAATATGAAACAATTTTAAAATTGAACTATCAAAATAATGCTTAGTCTAAATTGGGTACAGGCATAGATGATGGTCGTCTATAATTATATAAACTCTACTCAGAGACTCATTAAGAATAATTAATGAAGTCCAAACCAAACTAACGTCCAATAAATATGACTATAAGATTCAAAACAAACACAAATCAAATTTAGCTTCTCCCAGCACTGCTTTAGCCAGAACGGCATCAGAATAACTAGATGATGTCATTTGCTTCGACTTTTAGAAATCCCGAGTTCTTTCTGCAGGAGTTTAGATGCATTGGAGCCGGGGATGTAGTCGGTGTCGGTCGATTCTTTAACGGCCAGCTCCTGGTAGCAAGCTCGATAAGGTCGGGACCCCTTGGTTTCTCATTTCTTCTTGTGCTCTCCTCATTTCTTCAGGATCTGGTCATCAGGAAATCACAAAATCATGTGGTCAGAGACAGAATGATCCTTCTTTACCCCTTGTTTGAACTTTTAAAAAGATATTGAATAAGTTCTTGTTTGCTGTCTCTGATAATAAATTCAATCAAGAACTTGGATTTTAGGACTAAGAAAACTGAAAAGAAAGATCAAGACATTGCTGATAGTGAGAGGAACCAGCAATCTGAACTTCCCCATTTGCTTTTTTTATGATTTACCAAATGAAGTTCCAAGTTCATCAAGAGGGCAGCAGTGATACACAGCAAGATAGTAGCAACAAAAATAGTTTGAAACTTTCAGCTAAAGATTTGGCATGAAAAGATCTCATCTATTTTCAAGTATAGAAATTTATATAGCAGTATTCAAGGGCCCATGCAGAGTGGGAAAAGTAGAAGAATTTTTCACCAACATATCGCCAAAGAATTTTCAAAGAGAGGATTGTGATTGTCGTCACTGATTACAAGTTTCCAGATCTATGGAGAAGAGAACTTTGCATATAAAAATAATATAACTCATTATTCCCTGGGTTGAGTCCAAATATCATAATATAATGAAAGAAAGAACTATCAGCAGCACAGGAATTTGTTTGAGAAGCCTTTTTTTATAAGAAATCAAGTTTTCACAACTGTCTAATGAGCAAATGACTACGTACCTATGTTCTCCATTAACTTGGGCATCAGGAATACAACAATTAGCATGAATCCCACCATCAGACCCATAGGACTTTTCACAACAGACATTATGGAAAAGGGTTCTCGAACCTATAATACAAAGAGATTGAGTTATAATGTGCATCGGCGAGATAAAAATTCCATAAACCTATAGTCCATGAAAAGAAAAAAAGGGAAGAGGTTGTGCCAAACCAACCTCGTAATACTCCTCATCCCTTAAAGGCTCTAAAACAAGTTCGCTCAATGCCCGCCTGTTTTCTGTTAGGGCTGCCTGAACCTTACCTGGGTTTCTGGCACTCACATCAACTCGAACCTAAGGAGTAGAAAAAGAAAGAAAAAAAATGAGTCACATAAAACCAGATTCATAGAAAAGCTGAGAGAGATAATGGAAGAAAATGAAAACCCACAGGAGAAAAGAAATAGCCCAATGCAGCCACTTCAATTAGATGAGTTCCTGCTGGCACATTATAGCTTTAAGAATTAAAGTTAAGGAATTGTAGTGAACCTCAGAAACAATGTACCCGACACCTGTTTGTAAATAGATTGTAAGGCCAAATTCTTTAGCTTTAACTCCTCCAAAATAATAATAACAATAATACTAACCAACCACTGAAAAGCAAAGAACAAAGTGAAGTCAAATGCTACATCGAATTGAGGATTATACAAATGATCAGTGAAGATAATTTTGAGTCCCAAAATAGCAAAGCTGAAAATTAAATTTTGTATGCAAAGAAACTTAAAAATAATATAACTCCCTTGCTTACCCACGGTTAGCCTATTGGTCATTGGGGCCTATGAAAAAATAAATCGGCTTAGAGGGAGGGGAATGAATGAGTTCAAACTAAATATAATAGAGTCAAAGTAGTTCTCCCACGAGATTAGTTGAGTTGTGTGAAAATAAAACATAAAAAATATATATAATTCCTTAACTTGAAGCATTTTCAACTGACTAGAAACATATAAAGGATACAATGAAAAATATCCATCGGGCCTCAAGAAGGTAACTCTTTGGCCACCATTAAGTATGACTTTAATGTTTGATATTTTTCCAGGAAGCCCGTACCCTTTAATCCCGTTGCCTGCGAAAAGCTCAACAAGATGCATTAGCTTAGAATACTGCAACAGTCATGAATATTGACCAAATATAACATTCATTGAAAATATCTTCAAGTTATAATTTTGATCTTTTTAACCCTAACCTGTATTATATTAGTCACACGTAGAAAAGAAACAATTTATGCAATTCAAGTAGAAAAAGAGGAATAATTGAGAATAAAACATGCTATATGAAAAATCTATAGTTATCAGGGATTCGGTATGGACAAAAAGTATAAATAAAATGTTTAATGCATGCCTCGTGTGAAGGAGTGAAGAACACAAATGCTACACATCTGCCTACAGAATTCACTGTTTCTCATAACATGAAACAGAGCTGTGTTGCCTCTCTAATATAAATACTTTTTCCCATTCCAATCTGCGCTAATCCAACCACTCAGAATTTTCAAAGCAGCATCACTATTTTAATGTGGATTCTCAAGTCCATGGTGGAGGGATTAATTATATTAAGGATGAAGGGGATAATCTTACTGAGTGCTATGGTCATGCTGCAGTTTTCCAGACCATAACTTATTTAGACCTTAACCTTCTAGGGAACCCTGGAAGTGAGAACTTCTGGACTTCTACGGCAGAAAAATTCAAAGTAATTCAGGTAAGTAGAACAAATCCTTAACTTTTGGGTGGGGATGGGGAGGGGGAATTTAATGGAAGTAATCTAAATGAGGACTTTTGGACTTCTATGACAGAAAGATTCAGAGTAATTTAGCTAAGTGGAAGAAATTGGGTGGGGTTGGGAATGGGGCATTAAATGGAAGTATTCACCTTGTGAGGTGGGAACACGATTAATATTCCATTGGAGGGAGGATTCTTCTTGGCATATTACTACCAAGAACAAGATTGAGCATCTCTAACAGTTGTGCTTTCCCAGGGGTAGGGTTCCTTGTGAAATCAGAGTGATAAATTGGCTAATCGCCTTTTGTTCCCCTGATGAAGTACAGTTTTGGTTGGCCAATTTGGAGCAATTCAACCCCCCTCCCCCTTTTATTCCCTCGCCATATCGTTGTAATGTTCTTAGCCAGAAATCCTTCCAGAGGAAAAGGCCAAAGTTCATTGATGGTGGGAGATTTCATCAGATAGAAATACATTTGTCTTTTACAAGGGGTTGCTAGAAACTTTGTCAGTTGCAAGATACTATTTCTTCCATGGCCACATTACTAAGTGCTATTGATATTTTTTCTTCCTTATTTATCAATGCCAATTGGAGATTGGAGAACCTTCCTAATCTCCCTTAGCCTAGGTTAAGATATCTTGGCCTCCCTTCTTCTGTAATTCTCGTTTTCCAATGGATAAGGAAAAAAGATATCTATATAACTATCTTGAAGCCCGTATCAAAAAAAGGTCTGAACTAGTAGAATAAGTGGAAGAAACATACTCGGAATCTTCACCCGACCATAGATAGTGTATCCATCGCCGGACCTGCAGAAAGCGACAACAAAATCAAACGACAATGAACGGAAACAGAAACGGATATTTATCAGACGGAATTCATCAACTATTTCTTTCAATCCTCATAAATTGATATTCCCGATAAGTCGAGCAGGCACAAAGTCACAGTGAATAGATTCAGAACACTAAGACCTACCCAGGAGAAATCGCATGCGACGGAGTTAACAGAGATAAGTAAATCTGGATTGAAAGTAAGAGAATGAAAACTTTAGATCGCATTTTCGATGATGATTCTGCTATGGCAAGATCTCGGTCCTCGTGTTCTCAGCTGGGCTTCCGCTTGGTTCTTCTAATTCGTTGCCGACTGTAGTAGGATGAACGGCGAACGTACGACCACCGATTTTACTTAGGGAAATCTTTCGAGGGAGAAATTAATTTTACTTATTTAAAAATTCATCCGCTTTTTTTTTTCTTTTAAGAATTGAGATTTTTTTAGTAGCGTGAAAAATCGAAATTTTGATAGGAGATAAAAGTAGTTGAATTATTTTCATATTTGTTAAAAGATTTATAATTTAAAATCAAGTTTAATTACAAATCTGATGACGGTGAACATAGTTTTCATTTATGCCTATGTCATTTTAAAAGCTTCGATTTAGTCTTTATAATTTGAGTTTAGTTTACCTTTCATCTTATAATTTTAAATATTTTTTAAATGTTTCAATTTCATTAATTTAATCGAACTTCGTAATAAACTATACTGGTCGATTGAGTAAAAAATACATGAAAATAAATGGATTTTTGAGTACACAAAAACAGTTTCTGGATGATATATGAAATTTACTCAAACCATCATGACTAAATTGTATCGTTGATCATTTTTACAAAATGCTAATGTAAAGTTATACACAAATCTTGATGAAATAAAAGTTTGGCATCTTATTTTTACCTTTTTAAAAACAGAATTAAAATTATTATTTTATCATCTTACAGGTAAAATAATTATGAATATCTCTTTTTTCTTTAACCAAGAAAGAAAATTACTAAATTACTAAATA